TAGAGGTCATTAGAAGGTCAAACACTGGATTTGTTGCTGCTACTGCATTCCTGGGGTTCCTAGCTTTTAATTGATATGCATAAAGCCATAGTTGAAATATTTTCTATTTCTGGAGGTCATTAGAGGTCATTAGAGGTCATTAGAGGTCATTAAAATTCAATTTGATTTTATTTTATGAATTTCGATCACTAATTAGGCGTGCACCCAAAAAATTGGAAGATTTGAACCAAAAATGAAGGCAGGCCCCCCCCCCCCTACATCAAATGTGCCAACTCCACCATCCCCTTTAATTTCCGAGGATTTTCAAATAAAGTGATTTGATATTTGAATTGATTGTGATTTAATTGTGATCATGTAAAAAATTGGATTCGGAACTTAAATGTTTCTTAAAATTTTTGCTCAATAATTTTACAAAAAAAAAATTGACATTTTCCTTCAGTTTCTGCTGAGGCTTGATTGACCATTGTAAGATCGTTAACTAAGCTCTGATCAGTCTGCACTTGACATTTTTTCCTTTTAATAATTTGGTTTAAATTCAGTCACTTGAATCCGGCTCCAAGGAGCTAAAATGTTTCCTATAATTGACCTGCTTAAGCCTACAGGAAGAGCACAGAGCGTCCTCCAGGTATGGGTCAACCTGAACCTTCTTGTTAAACTTCTGAGTCTTGATCTCGATAAATGCTGCAGCCACGGCCTTAAGTATTAAAAGGACTGTAAAAGTAAAAGTGACCCTCCATGCAAAGAATTGACAATGTCCGATTTACAACGAGGTACCCTTAGAACTTTTGTCTGATCAAGTATGAATTAGAACTATATGTTTTTGTATTTGAAAACTGCAAAAGTGATTTGCGCATTTCTTGCTAACAAGAACAGCTTGAGAAATATCATAATTCAACACTTCGAATAAAAAACACGCTTCTTTCACATTTGTTTTATTAGATTAAGGTTTCACGGGTACCATTGTATATCGGACATTGCCATCTTGCAATTCTTTAAATCATTAGCAAAGAAGGGGACGCTGCGTGAAGTGTTCTTTCCCGTTTTGCATTCTAAAGTCTGTATGGATACTTAACAAACTGCTCTATTTGCCCAGAGGTCGGTCCGCTACTTCAAATTGATCCTCAATTTACAATGTGATGCCAAACTAGGCTAATCTGAATTATAGGATCTGTGAAGTAAAAGAAACCTGTAACACTTAAAAGGTACATGTAACCGATATTTCCGTTGAACCTAGTTGGCATTCCCCGATTCACAACAGTACCCTTAAAAATCTATATCTGATCAATAATGTCAAAGATATTATCGGTTTTCTAGGTTTACAAATGTTTAATTGTGATAATTCCTTATATGCTTTATTGTAGTAGGCGTCACTTTTGTAGAGAAACGACAGTTGAAAATAATCAGTTTTCAAAATGATAAACATTGATATCTAGTTCATACTTGATCAGACAAAGCTTTAAGGGTATAGTTGTGAATCGGGTATGGCCATTAGCCATCTATGCATGGAGATTCCCTTGAAATTACGTTTACATTCCCTTTCATATTAAAAATCCCAACTTAAATTTATTTTACAACAAACGTTTGACAAACTTAGTTCTTGAACTTGAACAGCATTTTGTTTTTGAAAACAGAAGCAAACCAGCATCGATTAAAAAACTAGTTTTTCTTAAAATTATCAAGTTTTCAGAAAAGATATTGAAATATATCAGATATCATTTACGGATAGACACTAACCTTCATGTAGGATTTAGTATTGTTGAATGTAACCCTTCCACTCCCGATAGGGTACTTGTGCTTATCAGTGTCAATCCCTGCATACACTACACCACCGAACAGATCGTTAAAGATGTGCGCCAGGCCCTCGGCGTTCAGCATCCCGTGCAGCGCGCCGACGAACACAGTGTTCTGTGGATCAAGACGCTGGGACGGACTACGGACGTAGTTTGAGTCTCCGATGACCCAAGGAATTATCTGAACCTCTTTAGAGCGCATTCTTCTAAACAAAAAATAATTCAACTTAGAGATCTATTACCTGACCCTTTTTTAATACTTACATCTTTGAAACCCAAAATCCCAATGTCTTTGCAACCTGGTGGGGTAAATATCGAGAGTATTTGATCGAGTTTGAAATATCAATGACTTCTGGTTTCAAAGATATATAGCTTAGAAAATTACAACCTCTGTATAATTAATATTAGTTCTTACAAATAAAATTTTGGAATTCTGAGTGTAAGGAACAGGGTCTAATACCAGTATCATTTAATATTGCAAACTTAGAACTTTGCAGGCCCGTAGCGAGGGGGGCATAGTGGCATGTGCCCCCCTTTTACCCCCCAAAGGGATAGGCACACTTTCTGAGACAGAAAAAGAAGAAAATGAAAAGAAAACGGAAAATGAAAGAAAGAAAGAAGGAAACAAGGGGAGAAAATTGGCTTAAAATCAATTTTCGTTTATAAGAATATGTGTAAAGGATTATTTATTTCTTCAAATTAAAGAAAACTGGAGTGCTTTTTGAAATAAATTATTTGAGAATTTTTATTTCAATCCTGTCTTGTGAAATGATAGGGTTTAAATTATTTTTTATTTTGTATTTTGAGAAGCTTTTCCTTTTCCCTTCTTTTATTAGATTGAAAATTATGAACCATCGACCAGCAAAAAGTAACATGGAGACCAATTGAAATTAAATTTAAAATGTGGCCAGGTTAAGAGAAGCTGTTTGTACTCAGCGATTCATTGAACAGAAACTTTAAAAAATATTTTCTAGACTTTTATTATGTTAACGACAATCTGAGAGGGTTCTCCAACGATTTAAAAATGTATTCTGCAGAAGTTTGATTTTATCAAACATGCAAATTTAATATCCTATGTGAAAATATAAGGCAAAAACGAACCAAAAACTATTGTTTTAAAACCCCAAAAATGATAGTTTTTGTCTGATATTTTCCTCTAGGGTAACACATTTGCATTTTTGATAAAAGCAAACTTCTTCAGTAAAAAGTTTTAAAATCTTAGAAACTTCTCAAATCGTTTTAAAACATTTTAAGTCTGGCTATTGCCCATCCCTACTTGTACTCATCTTTAAGCTTGCAGGGTAGTTTTTTACAAATTTTAGTTTCGAGAAAACTGAAGATTTCCATCTTGAGCTTTTTTATTTTTACAGGAATTTATATCCGTTACTTTCCCTGTATCAAAAATATTGGCTATTCGTGGTTTAAAAATTTCAGTAGTACATTTATTTAGTTTAACTCAAATTTCTACATCTTAAACCACTAGTTTTTGTTATGATGCTTCTCAATAGCACTTAAGGGAAAGAAAACAGGCATAATATCTATCTTAATAAACTTTAATGTGTGATAAGTTAAAAATCTACTTTTTTCTATTCTTCATTAATTAATTTTGACCCTTTTTAGGTTTTTCAGGTTAGTTTTATATCTACACTTTTTTACTATTGTGCCCCACCCTTTTAAAATTCCTAGCTACGGGCCTGGAACTCTGTGAGATCAAATAGTCTAAGTTTGAAATATCAAAGGTTTACACCACCAGGTTGCAAAGATATAGGGATTGGAAAATCTGTGTTGGTGGCAAACACTCAATTTCTTTTCGAAGATAGGACTTGGAAAAAAGTGCTTTTTTAATTCAATTATGATCAAATAGTAGAGAAAAAAGCTAACCTAGAGGATACTCTGTAGTACCAACTTCCACCATTAGAATAATCATGAGTACAGTGAGAGAGGAGTGCTTTTACACTCTTCTCCTAAACAAACATCAAACAATTTAAATCAAACCGCAGGGTGGGNGGGGGAGAATTTAAAGGATATTAAAAGATTTGCATTTCCCGTTAAGACAAATTGATCAACCCTTTCCGATTGAATTTTGGATTAACATTTACATACAGTGTTATCCACAAAGGATGAGACTTTATTGGAGACATGGAACTATTTGCTCCTAAAAAGGTTATGTCTGCGTTCTTAATCTAACACTTTGATAGGTAATCTAAATGATCATCAATAAAAAATATTAAGTTGTTATAGCTGGGGCCATCCATGTAAGAAAAAAGTCTGAATAAAATTTCTTACACTCGTCATTAACTTGCATCCTTCATGGATAACTCTGTAAAACAATAGAAAAAGAATTCTTATTTGACAGATAAATTAAAAAGACCCCCCCCCCTCAAACGCACGTTAAAATATTGGTTGGATATGAATTGTCATCGTTCCTGGTCGAAAACCACGTAAACGTATCCTTTAGGAGGAGAAGGAGAAGACTCTCTTCCCGGCCACTCAATCTGAATCTGACCAAACTGCTTGAACGCCTGTACTAAACTATTCTCAGTTAGATCCCACGGAACCCCACCCAGAAATATCTTGCATGAGAAGATCGGATTCTTGTTGGATCTGGGTGGAAGTTGACCGGACCAGGTGCAATTGGCATCATAGAGAGAGGCGGCATTCCTGTACATCTTTGCAGCCCGGTCCAGGGAGCTAGGGTCTGAAGGGTTGGTTGCAAACAAGGAGTTGACCTGGTGGCGGTCAGCTAGCAGGCTGGCAGCTCCTACCTGGTGCTCAGAGGTCGGGGAGTGCGGAGACATCGAGCTGGTGGATAGAAAACTGTTGAGGATAGAATTCTGCTCAAAGCTGATATTGTGAAGGTTCTTCACAGCGTGGGCTACAGCGGGGTCAATCTCAGAGATGGAAGGAAGCTTAGGTCTTCGACTTTCTTGACGAGGCTCACGTCCACTCTCCATATTCCTTTGGCCGAAGAGGCTTCTTGGTGAAGTACTGATATCCTGGGGTGGAGAGTGGGAAGGGGAAGGTTCAACCTTTCCATACTTCAGGTTCATCGCTCGGACTAGCTCAGAGAGGTTGTAGTCCGGAGAGCTGCCTCCGCTGGTTCCGTATCCGGCGTCGGAGTTCGGCGATCCTCCTCTGCAACCCATGATGATCGCCTGATCGAAGGTTGGACTACCGGACTCACTGCACACCGATCTATGATAGGGTCCAGCATCACAGAAACTAATCGGGGGAGAAACGCATCCAGCAGCTGTTCTCATCAGAGGCCGTCGAAAATCCGCCAAAGTTCCGAAACTGTTGGATCTAATCCTCGGAGGATCCATTCTTAAAAGGCTGTGCAGGGAAGGTTCAATTCCTCTGTTCATGGATTGTGAAGCACCCAGCCAGGATTGATAAGAGGTTCCAAGTCCAGAATCTCTCTCACGAAAGGATTCCATGCCTAGAATATTTTTCATATTGCTTTAAAACATTCCTTTGTACGGGGACTGACTGAAACCAACTTATTACACGTGACAATTTTAAGGTTAAATTTAGCCCTCTTACTTGAATGTAGTATTTAGGGTGTCTATTTAATGAATTTGAAACAAAATAGATATGAAAAGCTGCGGGAATCTTAAATGTAAAAAATACGTCTTTGACGTCTCATCCTTTGATGTAGACTCTGTAAATAAAATCGGAACTGATTTTTTACGTCAAAAACGACCGGATTGTGACTATATATTGTAACATATTGATTAACTCGATTAACTGACCCTTGTCCTGGTTTCTGACCAAGGTGACCGGACTGACTCCGAGTAGGTTCCTCAGCAGAAGAGATCCCTCGGCCAGCGCCTAAATTATAGAATGTATTGGGTCGGGTTTAGACATAGCTAGAATCTAGATCAACTGCAAATAAAACTCATTAGAAGGGGATGATTCATTTGGTAAACTGTTTTGTTTTGCCTTCTGTATTCTGTACCAGTACAAACTGCACTAAGGTCGGCCCGATACTTCAAAAGAACCAAAGAATGAAAAGCCTCACGGCCGGCCAACTTATTAACTATGTTTATCGGAAATTATTTAGCAGTTTCCTGTGAACAAGAGGGGGGTGCAGTAGTGGTTTATGGTTAGCAAAGGAACTGTCATTCCATGCTCTTTTCTCTTATCTGGAAACTTTCAACGGACCGTCTTTAAGTTGCATTTACACGATTCACAATGCAATGGTACCCTTTAATGGAAATATCAATTGCAGTTTCTCAATGTTAGTGCAGCAGAAACAAGAAAGAAAATTGGACATGATTAAACTCTATTTACAAAAATAGACAATTACTACAGCCACTAAGATACAGGTCTTGAAATAGATGATTAATTAAAATTAGGCCGATAGTACATTTAAAATTATATTCTCTAACCTGGTCTTTTTTGGGAGTAGAAGCACACGCTTGCATCCTAGTTTTGGTCTGATCTTAGGTTCTCAATCCGATCTACTCAGTACTCAAAAGATCGCTTAAAGGAGAGATATTCTCTAAAAAATAGATCTGATTTAATCTCAGGATCAATACGATCAACTCAAAAGATCGTTTAAAAGAGAGATATTCTCTAAAATAAAATAGATCCGATTTGATCTCAGGATTAATACGATCAACTCAAAAGATCGTTTAAATGAGATATTCTCTAAAAATACAATAGATCTGATAGGATCTCAATACTTTAAGATCGACTCTATAGATTTACAGGACTCGGAAAGGAAAAAAAGGTGATGAAATTTCAGAAACAATGAAAACAAAATCTGTTTTCATAAACACAAGGTTAAATTCCGTTTTTCAGTTTTTCAAAAATACGCGTCATAACTAAAATTTAAATATTAATAATTGCAGGGGGGTCCGGCCTAGTATACGATTTTAGCACACGACCTTAATTTCAACTATTTCCAATAAAAAATATCTATTTTGTATTATTTCGGGTTAGGTTGGGTTAGGACAATTTCTGGGCCGAGCGCTGCGGCTAGAACAGGGTAGGGGGTTGAGCGCTGCGACCAGGACAGACAAGCATCAATTTCAGCAATTTTCAACAAAAATAGTATACATTTAAGGTTAGGTTAGAACATTTTCTGGGCCGAGCGCTGCGGCTAGGACAGGCTAGGGAGCCGAGCGCTGCGGCTAAGACAGGCTAGAGGGGCGGGCGCTACGGCCACATGACCAACTTTATCCACGTGTTAAATTTAAGATGCATGTACAAAATTGATACGAGGGGGGAGGGGGCCAAACATGTTCTCTAGTAAATTACCCATCATGGTATTCCTTTGGCATCAAATTAAAAAAAAGTTTAATTATAAAGCGTGTTTTCGTTCATTTAAAATCGAGTTTCTTTGTTCATTTAAAAATGAAAAAAAAATCGCGTCGTTTTTCTGTAAACCAAACAATTTTTAGAACTAAAATTTTAGTATTAAACAAGAACGTTAAATACTAGTATTTGTAACATAAAATTTTCTTAAATTTTCTAGTATTTTAATCCTTAAATGTTAAATATTAAACAAATTAAGATCACTAAACTGATAAAAATCACAATAACCCGGAATATGTCCTCTCAAAACTTTAACAGCAAATGTGCTGAAAAGCAACAAACAAAATACATAATGTACTGTAATCTTCATAAACTGGTTTAATTGTACTGTAAGCACATTTTAAGTACGTACGTTCACGTTCTAAATATTAATTTAGAGAAATTAGTATAATTTTCAATGTATGCATTGACAGATAGAGGTTTTTTCCTTTATCCAAAAACTATCATTTTTCCTACTTAAAACATGAAAATAGTTGTTTAAATACATGGGTTATATGCAAAGGTTGAGACTTTAATGACGACCTTTAACTGAAGAAATATCCTGCTACGAGTTTAATGACGACCTTTAACTGAAGAAATATCCTGCTACGAGTTTAATGACGACCTTTAACTGAATAAATATCCTGCTACGAGTTTAATGACGACCTTGAACTGAAGAAATAACCTGCTACGAGTTTAATGACGACCTTTAACTGAAAAAATATCCTGCTACGAGTTTAACTTAGGTTTTTTTTACAAACAGGGTGTCCCATCCTGTTAGATCGTTCATAGCTCTAAATTAAGATTAAAGGGATTAATTAGAAATTGAAAAAAATTATCATCATTAAAAAATTTCTAAAGAATTATGAGGCTATAATAAATGTAAAAGAATAACGATGCAAGAAACCTTTGTGGGTACTGGGTAACCCATTTCGGGTGGCTATTTCTATCCCTCTCCCCTAAGCATTATTTGACTTTGGGGTTTTTTTTAAGTCAACCTTGGGGCGGCGGCATAATTTTGGTATTTTTCTTGTGTCTACAACAATAACTTTCTGCAAAATAAGAGGTCTAGTATTTGAAAAATAATAATTCCAGAAAAAATTTCTTGCATGGATGAAATTTTGGCATTTTATTGGGGAAGGGTAAAATAATATAAATTTGTAATCTCTGTTTAAGTCTGTATCTCAGATAATCTTAGATACCCCTTGACCCATTTGCCAAATTTGCATTTTTTACAAATGCTAAAAATAAAGGTTTTGATAACAGATGTATTGAATAGAAAAAGATTTAAGTACAGAAAAAAATATATTTATGAAAAATATTGAATATGTAGACATAAAAATAGAAAATATAGAAAAGTGAGGATTAGAGAGAGAGATTAAATAAAGTATTGATGAAAGTTGTATGAGAGAGACGGATCAATGAAGTTATAGTTGTATGTGATAGAAGGATCAATGAAGTAGTTGTATGAGAAAAAAGGATCAATGAAGTAGGTGTATGAGAGAGAAGGAGCAATGAAGTAGTTGTATGAGAGAGAAGGATCAATGAAGTAGTTGTATGAAAGAGAAGGATCAATGAAGCAGTTGTATGAGAGAGAAGGATCAATGAAGTAGTTGTATGAGAGAGAAGGATCAATGAAGTAGTTGTATGAGAAAGAAGGATCAATGAAGTAGTTGTATGAGAGAGACCGATCAATGAAGTAGTTGCATGAGAAAGATGGATCAATGAAGCAGTTGTATGAGAGAGACGGATCAATGAAGTAGTTGCATGAGAGAGACGGATCAATTAAGTTTTTCATGAGAGAGAAGGATCAATGAAGTAGTTGCATGAGAGAGAAGGATCAATGAAGTAGTTGTATGAGAGAGACGGATCAATGAAGTAGTTGCATGAGATAGACGGATCAATAAAAGTTTTATATAAAGAGACGGATCAATGAAGTAGTTGCATGAGATAGACGGATCAATAAAAGTTTTATAAAAAGTAGTTGTATGAGAAAGAAGGATCAATGAAGTAGTTGTATGAGAGAGACGGATCAATGAAGTAGTTGCATGAGAGAGACGGATCAATGAAGTAGTTGCATGAGAGAGACGGATCAAAGAAGTTTTTCATGAGAGAGAAGGATCAATGAAGTATAGTTGTATGAGAGAGACGAATCAATAAAGTAGTTGCATGAGAAAGAAGGATCAATGAAGCAGTTGTATGAGAGAGACGGATCAATGAAGTAGTTGCATGAGAGAGACGGATCAATGAAGTTTTTCATGAGAGAGAAGGATCAATGAAGTAGTTGTATGAGAGAGACGGATCAATGAAGTAGTTGCATGAGAGGGAAGAATCAATGAAGTAGTTGCAGGAGATGGACGGATCAATAAAAGTTTTATATAAAGAGACGGATCAATGAAGTAGTTGCATGAGATAGACGGATCAATAAAAGTTTAATAAAAAGAGACGTATCAATGAAGTAGTTGCATGAGATAGACGGATTAATGAAATACTTGTATGAAAGAGACGGATACAGAGAGGTGTGTTGGAGACGGATTAATGAAAGATGAAGATTAGAGCTGGTTTAAATACTGATTTAGAAGACCGATTAAAAAAGGATTAGATAGGAATGAAAAAATAGAGACAACAGGGGGATTATTTAGAGTCCATAAATTAAGCAAGAAAGTTTAAGTGTCAATATAACAGAACATTACAGGAAGCTATCTCTATTTTGTCTGATCATATTGATCATTTTGTAAATTCATTAACCGCTGGCTAAATCTCCGGCAATTATACTGCAGAACTCACCGAAAACTTAGTTGAGTAGTAGCAGTAGTTTCTGTACATTTATTTGTTTTGTTTTTGTCCAATTATACCTTTTAAACCCCTTGACTGATTTTCCTCAACTTTAGATTGGACAACAAATGTTCTTGGTTTAAAAATTCCAAGTTTATGGGAAAATTTGCCTAAAACCTTTCAAAAACCAAGGGATAAATTAACTAAAATGATCATCCATAGGTATATATATATTAGCCTTTTAGGGCGCTTCGCGCCCATCTTCTATTTTAATTGTGAACATGTTCTCTTCGTGTAAATCGTTAAACAAAACAAAAATTCGCGGATTTATAGCTAAAAATTTCGTGCAAATTTACAAACTTTTCAAATTTTAATGAAAATCCAATTTTAATGGATACAAATGTTTGAAATTTTGATCATTCATAAACCTTTCCTGGGGCCACGTGAGATCCCTCAAAAAATTGGGCCCGATCAGTTCATGACTGTTTTAACGTTTATTGGATGCAAACAAACAGACAGACAAGCTAAATTTAAATATAGAGATTCATACATTTTTTGCCAAATAATTAAGTATGCCTTAAAAAAAGTTATTCAATTACAGCGAACCAAATTAAATTGTTAAATAGTTACATATATATGTGGTTAGTCGTCAATCAAGTCTCATTGTTGGTTGGTAACTACAGGGCTTCCCATAATGGACGAGACTCCAGAGACGACTGTTTGAATTTCAATTTCTTTCCGACTTGGTATTGTTTCTTGCTAATGTACAGTAAAGTCTTTCTTTGCCACCGCATGAAGTATATCTGTAACAAACTGAATGAACGGCAAAAAAATGAGATTTTAGCCTTAATTCGGATAGTTACTAGTTTAGGTAGTCATATACTTATCATCCTTTATATATTGCTGTTAATTAACACACCTGTCCACCACTGACGATGTTGCAACCAGATCTACCAGAAAAAATTAACCAAACAAGTAGTTCTCCGATGTTCCCTCATATCATGCTTAATATGCTTTCAAGATCTCTTTCCTTCCACTGTCCATTTTAAAATACTCTTATTTGTCAAAAATACACATTTAAGTCAATTTTCACATCTAATTCAATAAACTTAATACAATATAATCTACACGGTGATTAAGTTGAATAGTTTATTCTGTAGAATGTCATAGAATATAAAATATAAAAATACGTAAAAGGATGAATTTGGTCTGTAGGGATACAGTCTAAAATAATTTTCTTACAAGAAAGAACTTATTAGAGCATGATTTAGTCTGAGCAGGGTATGAAGAGAATGAGAGGATCTAAGATCCGCACATGAGGCAATCGTCCCTGTTATTGATTGAGCAGACCAGGGTTTGCATATTCTTCTCCACCTCTCCTAGATCTCCAGCAGCTGCAGGAGAAAGATCAGCATCCTGGAACAATATAACTTGAGAAATAATAAAAGAGGAAATTGAAAAAAATAATCAAAATCGAATTAAGTTTGGAATTCATGGTTGAACAAAAATATTTGAGCAAAACATGTAATATTTATTCAGCTTTATCCCTTAAGTCAGCACTTGAATTAGTTTAGTGTTTTAAAAGGAAATAAAATGTGATGCTTATAAATGCCACCATGCACATTGCACATAACAAATGACGTCTCATTAACCAATTACATCTTTACCTGTTTATAGTCCAAGAAAATTAATATGCGCCAAAAAATTAGCTTTTACCTTCTTAGCGGCGTCAGCAACCTTGATCTTGGATTTGTCGACAGTGAACTGGATAGCTTGAGCAGCCGCCTTCGTTCTTAGATAATACATCCCGGTCTTCAATCCCAACTTCCAGCCGTAGAAGTGCATAGAACTCATCTTACCAAAGTTAGCGTCAGCAATATGAATGTTAAGGGACTGGGATTGATCGATGAAGGCCCCTCTGTCAGCTGCCTGCTCCAGTACGTTCTTCTGACTAATCTCCCAAACGGTTTTGTAAAGATCGCGGATTTTCTTGGGGATTACCTGAAGAAATTAAAGTTTAAAACACGCAAATAATTACACAAAAAAATATAATTTATTTTTTATATCATTTTACTTTTTAACTTCATTAACTTAATTAAAAACTCGCAAAGAAGTAGTCATTGATGCAAATATGAGATAATCGTTAAAATGTTTTTTGTTTATATAAAGTTACCTCGATCTTCTGTATGCTACCGTTGGCGGAGATAATCTCGTTTTTCACGTCATCAGTCCAGAGGTTCAGCTCTGTCAGATCACGAAGAAGATGCTGATTTACAACCTGGAATTCTCCGGAAAGAACTCTAAAAAGATTCAATTATAAAAAGTTGCAAAACGGAAAATAAATTAAGTTAAAATAACATGAAAATAATGACGAACTGAAATACCTTCTTGTGTAGATGTTACTGGTGTAGGCCTCCACGCTCTCGTTGTTGCCCAGAATCTGAGCAGTGGAAGCTGTTGGCATAGGAGCCAGGAGCAGAGAGTTCCTTACACCATGCTTTGCAATCTGGGCCTTCAGCTTAGCCCAATCATGGAGCTCAGTGGGTGTTACTCCCCACATATCATATTGCAGCCTACCCTGACTAACCGGAGAACCAGGATAGGTTTCATAAGTACCCAATTGCTCGGCAAGCTCACAGCTTGCTTCCAGAGCTCCGTAGTAAATAGTTTCAAAGATTTGTTTGTTTAGAAGTTTAGCTTCGTTAGATTCGAATGGGAATCTCATGAGAATGTACGCATCAGCCAGGCCCTGAATACCAATACCAATTGGTCTGTGACGCATGTTGCTTTTCCGTGCCTCCTTAACGGGATAGTAATTAACGTCGATAATTTTGTTGAGGTTTCTGCAGGCAACCTTGGATACCTTCTTCAGCTTCTCGAAGTCATAGGTCTTGTCAGGGTTCACGAACATGTTGACGGCAATGGAGGCTAGGTTGCAGACGGCCACCTCATCAGGGGCGGAGTATTCGACGATTTCTGTGCACAGATTTGAGCATTTGATGGTTCCTAGATTCTGCTGGTTGGATTTTCTGTTACAGGCGTCCTTGTACAACATGTACGGAGTTCCGGTCTCAATTTGGGATTCAATAATAGCATACCAGAGCTGCTGAGCTTTTACAGTCTTCAAGACGCGTCCTTCCTTTTCATATTTCTCATACAGAGCCTCGAACTCGTCTCCCCAAACCTCATGAAGTCCAGGGGACTGGTCAGGACACATTAGACTCCAATCTCCATCAGCCTCTACCCTCTTCATGAAGAGATCAGGAATCCACATAGCGTAGAACAGATCCCTAGCTCTGTTCTCCTCTTTACCATGATTCTTCTTCAAATCCAAGAACTCGAAAATATCTCCATGCCAGGGTTCAAGGTAGATAGCGAATGCTCCAGGTCTCTTATTTCCTCCCTGATCAACATATCTGGCTGTGTTATTAAACACTCTCAGCATAGGAATCAACCCGTTAGAGTGACCGTTGGTTCCGGCAATGTATGACCCATGAGCACGGATACAGTGAACATTGAGCCCGATCCCTCCGGCAGACTTGGAGATTAGAGCGCACTGTTTCAAGGTATCGTAAATACCTTCGATAGAATCCGAGGCCATAGTAAGAAGGAAGCAGGATGAAAGCTGGGGACGGGGAGTAGCGGCGTTAAATAGGGTCGGAGAAGCGTGAGTAAACAGTCTCTGCGAAAGAAGATCGTAGGTTTCAATGGCAGAGTCAATATCCTCTCCGTGGATTCCTACAGCAACTCTCATCAACATCTGCTGGGGTCTCTCCACCACCTTCTTGTTGATCTTCAGGAGGTAGCTACGCTCTAGGGTCTTAAACCCGAAATACTGGTATTGGAAATCACGCTCGTAAATGATGGCAGCGTCAAGACGATCCTTATTCTCCTGGACAACTTTCCTGTGATAGTCAGAGATCATTGGGATTGGTTTAACTGTAGTAGCATGCTTCATGTTGTACAGATCCTCAATGACGTCACTAAACTTCTTCTTCGTCTCTTTATGCAGGTTTGAAACCGCGATTCTAAACAGATGAAAACTTTATATTACCAAAGGTTTGAAGGACTATTATTTATTTGTGGCAAATCATGCTAAAACATACTAATATTGTTGAATTCACAGTTCAGTTAAAATAAAAATAAGCTAAAAAATGTGAAAAAAATACGAGCTTGAGCAATTGATGAAGAGATTTTAAAAGCTTTATACAATGTTCAAAAGCTAATTCTACTATTTACTTCCATTTCTAAAATAAAAAATAGGAATAACCGACTATTGCCGATTTGAGAAAGAAAACTCAAAATGCATGATTTTCAACCGTTTGATATTCTTACCTTAAAAATTCAATTATTTCCCTTGAAAAACAATTATTTCCCCCTTTTCAACTAACATCCATAATATACGACGGACAAAATTATTTGAGGAAATATTTATCCCTGTCTCAATATTACCTTGCAGCTAGAACAGCATAATCAGGATGCCTAGTTGTCATTGTAGCAGCAATCTCAGCAGCTAGGTTATCCAGCTCAACAGTAGTTACTCCAGGATATAGACCATTTATAACCTATAATACAGATATTAAATATCCAGCTCAACAGTAGTTACTCAACGATATAGACCATTCATAACCTATGATACAGATATTAAATATCCAGCTCAACAGTAGTTACTCCAGGATATAGACCATTTAATTTTGATGCGAATCCGGATTCTGGATCCGCACTGGAAAAAATGGATCCGGATCCAAATCCGGAAATTCTAATAATTTTCTTTTTTCGATATTTCAGATTTGGGTTTTGAGAGTAAACTGGGTTTTTATGCAATATTTTTTGCAAGCAAAACGAAAAGTCGATAACCGCAGCGCTCGACCCTGAAAGTATCTTAACCTGACCTTCCCCCCATTCTGTATACGCTCCTTAATCCTAGATTGTCTAACCAACCTTAAGAGTGATGGAGGGTGCATCGATGTACTCCATATCCAGTCCATAGCAGAGCTTCTCAATCCTGGAGGTAATCTTGTCGAAGTGAACGGGTTCAGTTCTCCCGCTCCTCTTCACAACAAATATCTTGCTCAGATTAACCATTCTTAAAACAAATAAAATCTGAAAATAAAATTTTACAAAACAAGGAACAGACAATAATATCTACAAAATAACTCAAGATTACTGCTTATTGATTTATAAAAGTAGATACAATCGCATTAGGACAGTTGACCGTTGACTGAACTAAACTACCACTGAAACGTCTTTATACTATTGAAGGTTCTACGTTCAGTACAGACAGGTGTAAAGGGGGGAGGGGGGAGGAGGTGGCGAGGGGATGGACTGAGGGGCCCCATTTATAGACCTAGACGTAATTATAACACAGAATTGATAATAATTTTAAGATATTGAAGTTCCATGAAAATAAAAGGTTCAGTTGATCCATGCAAGGCCCCCTTCCTCGCTAGTTTTTACAAAAAAAAATCAAGAATCCGCTTCTCTAAAATACAAGGGGTAAGGGCAAAATACGCAAAAAAAATTCGGGCATTTTTTATCTTTCAGAGAGAATAAATGTGCAATTGAAGATTTCAAAGTTGAACAAGAACCCCCTTCTTGGTAGTGTTAGAAAAATTTATGGACACGATCACCATTATAAAAACAACATCAGGCAGTATATTACCGTATAAACAAATGTTCTAATTTGTCAAGTTTCCGGTTGGCTAAGTACTGAAACCTATGATGCTTCCCCCAAGATAACTCTTCATCTTTAAGATCTCTCTTCTCCTCGAATTGAATATATCTTCCCATGTTACAGATGATTAAACCTCTTTGGTAGGGTAATGTTAGAAAACTGGCAGATTACAATTCCCCTTCGTTTTAAATAGAGAAATTTTACCCGAAAATAACCCCAAGCCACCGCTGTAAATCCGTTCTAGATCGGAAAATAACGAAAACTACGGCGCTCTGTAGTGCAGCCTGCAGGTGCAATTAGTAAACAATTGTTGAAGCTGCACTTAGTACTTGCTTCTAGTGACCTGTCAAATGGAAAGGACGGGATAGGACGAAGCGTAATTTAAACTTCCAAACGGACCAATCACCGCAACCATACTCCACTCCAGACAAATAAACGGACGCAATTCAGGATGAAACACGATTAAGGCGGGAAACTCGGCTCTCCCAACTCAACTCCAGTCCCCACCAACACCGAGACAGCTGAACTTGAACTGACGCTGTGACGCATTATTTCGCCCGGCGGATTACTGTTGCCTGCTCTAACTCCTCTAACAACTGTTGAAATCTGAATTTTCCCGCCAGATTTGGGTATTTTTCAGCTGATTCGGGGGAAGTCTCGATTCGTTTGAACAACAGCATTATAATTGATTTATATGGGATCGGATTCGATTTTGTAAAAAACGGGCTCTAGGTCCTCTAGGGGNGGGGGGGGAGAGGGGAGGGAGTACATTAAATCGGCAATTTCACCCTTAACCCAAGGAACAAACTTTTATATAATGACGTCCATCATATATAATTCAATCCATTTTCTTCCTTTAAATTTCATCGATGGCTAAGATGGCTTCTTTGCAATTTCCCCAAATTGAACTCCATTGAAATGAACCAAAACAATTACATTTTCTCGACTTTAACGGACGGAGTCTTATATTGTGTTTCGAACCCAACAATAAATTCTCTGTTTCTCCCTGAACCGACTGAACCAAGCCTTAAATTTTCTCCTTTACCCAACCTTAGTTTCTCCTTGAAACCAACCTTAGTTTCTCCTGGAACCCGACGTTAGTTTCAGTGGCGTACGATAGCATTATAGTATAGGGGATGGGCCACTTTTAGCGCGCGCCAGCGCGTAATAAAAATTTTGTACCCCCCTCCCCCCTCAAAACCCCTTTTATGAAAAAATATTGATACCATTTTTAACTATAGTTGAGTATTCGATCATATACACACTTCCATTGATTTATGTAATTTTATTAAGTGGCATAAGAAAAATATCTATATTTTCATTGTATAATTATAAATAATGATATCAGATATATCTACACTGAAGGCAGTATTGAGCTTTTTTAATGAAACTTCTTTAGTTGAGGGCAAAAGTGAGATTTTTAGGTATTTTTTTATGGGTGCCCCCCTCAGGGAGGGGGCAACCTTAGTTTCCCCTGGAACCCAACTTTAGTTTCTCCTTGAACCCAATCGTAGTTTCTCCTTGAACCCAACCTTAGTTTCTCCTTGAACTAGTTGATCCATGCCTTGAACCCGATCCTTAGTTTCTTCTGGAACCCAACTATAGCTTCTCCTGAAATCCAACTTTAGTTTCTCCTTGAACCCAACCTTAGTTTCTTCTGGAACCCAACTATAGTTTCTCCTGAAATCCAACTTTAGTTTCTCCTTGAACCCAACCTTAGTTTCTCCTTGAACCCAACTTTAGTTTCTCCTTGAACCTAACCTCAGTTTCTCCTTGCACCTAAATTTAGTTTCTCCTTGAACTAGTTGATCCATGCCTTGAACCCATCCTTAGTTTCTTCTGGAACCCAACTATAGTTTCTCCTGAAATCCAACTTAAGTTTCTCCTTGAACCCAACCTTAGTTTCTCCTGGAACCCAACTATAGTTTCTTCTGAAATCCAACTTTAGTTTCTCCTTGAACTCAACCTTAGTTTCTTCTGGAACCCAACTATAGTTTCTCCTGAAATCCAACTTTAGTTTCTCCTTGAACCCAACCTTAGTTTCTCCTGGAACCCACAGTTAGTTTCTCCTTGAACCCAACCTTAGTTTCTCCTTGAACCCAACTTTAGTTTCTCCTTGAACCTAACCTCAGTTTCTCCTTGAACCTAACTTAAGTTTCTCCTTGAACCCAACCTTAGTTTCTTCTTGAACCCAACTTTAATTTCTCCTTGAACCCAACCTCAGTTTCTCCTTGAACCTAACCTTAATTTCTTCTGGAACCCAACATTAGTTTCTCCTTCAAACCAACTTTAGTTTCTCCTTGAACCCAACTTTACTTTCTCCTTGAACCCAAACTTAGTTTCTCCCTGAACCCAAACTTAGTTTCTCCCTGAACCCAAACTTAGTATCTCCCTGAACCCAAACTTAGCTTCTCCTTGAACCCAAACTTAGTTTCTCCCTGAACCCAAACTTAGTTTCTCCTTGAACCCAAACTTAGTCTCTCCTTGAACTTTGTAAGCATTGCAAATTGCATTATAAAATGATAAATTTATTAGGTTTAGTGTCCGATGGCCATAGGGAGGCGGGCATTAGACTAAATGCAAATAAAACTCATTTATTTCAGGTAGAAGTAGAGTATCTTGGACACCTTGTCAGCGCTGATGGAATTGTTTCATTTCTAATCTTAACATTTAGTATTTAGGTAATAATGATTAATCCTACTCTTATCTTTTTTATAGATTATCAAAAGAAAAAATCACAAATAAATAAAGGTTTACTCTAAATACAATAAAAAACTATGAACTTGTTGCTGAATCACATTTTATAAACGACGCATGAATTTTGTTTTAAAAACACATAAAATCGCAATTTATTTTTACATCACAAGAACAAACACCAGAAACAGATAGAGAACATGTAAAGTTAGATTGAAATCCTGAAAACATCATTTTGAAAGTTGTATCACATTTATCATAAAAATTAATAATTCTATACATAGATTAATCAAAATAATAGATAGGACACTAGATGTCGTCTTTAAAGATTTAGGGGGTTTTCGTTCACAATAACCCTGAGACAGAAGCCCAGATGAGTTGTGCGGAGTCGGCGTAGAATTACAAGACAGAGAGAGTCTGTTCTACGCAGTCTGCGCCTAACTCATTCGGGCTTCTGCCTCAGGGTTGTTCACGAAAAATCCCAAAATCTTGAAAAGACGACATCTATTGTCCTATCTAATATTATATTTAATCTACGATTCTATATTTTAAAACACATATAATTCAATTTTTTGCAAAATGATAAGAACAGCTATTCCACTGACCATCAAAATAAGTTTAAAGTCCTATATCATTTGATCATTGGTGAATGGTGAATGGTAATATCACATTTTTTTACGCAATTTTCATAGCTCTTGGATTCAAAGTCAAAATCACACTTTTACATAATCAAGAACAAAACAAGAAATATATGTTTGCTCAAAAAACATGTTGATTATTGAACCCATAAAATCTTTGTATCACAATTATTTTCCTGAATCTTGGTTTCAACCATTAAACGAAATAACAAATTGAAAACAAAATATCACAAATATAACGCCGAAAGAAAATGTGGAATAAGGAATAAAAAGTACACTTTTAAATCTTCGAAAGGCGAACTGAAGATGGTTAATGTTTATTGTATACATACTTGCCATTTCACGCATAAAATATCTAAATAAAATTTTGCAAATAATTAGGATGATAAGTATAAATATATAAAGTAATTAAATGGAATTGGAAACATTGAATTTCACCGCCAGTAAAGAATTTCATACCAGAGTTACGATGTTACCTTTTAAACCTTCATCTGATTTTAAAAAAGATGGATTTGTCTATTAGAAAAACGACAATATCTTCCTCGTTGTTCCTCAGACAAAGGTTTTAGAGTACCGATGTAAATCGAGCATGAAACTCTTCGAATGAAGGTTCACTTGAAATGCGTTGACAGTACTTTTAAGAATGTAGCTGATGAGCTGATGATGTGGCTTGTATAAAGTTAGGATTGAATTAAGCTTCCGGCGGAATAATCCCCTTCTTGATGATGATATTTCCATACAGAGCTGTCTCTCCAGTAGCAACAACAGCATATGCACTCTAGAATTTAAACGAATTTAATTATGTAATTCTATTTCTTTCATTAGAAAATATGTTTGCACATTGGTCATGTTCAATGTAAAATTTACAACTATTATTATTATTATTATTAAAAATCAACCTACACACAAAGACATGACCTGTAGGTTACTATTTAATGAAAACGGGGTTGAGCTCCACCCCTTGCCATGGTGAGTGGTCTTATGGGATCTAATTACATGGAAACTAAAAGAAAGGATGCTGCAATAGCACATTAAGAGGCTGTATATACCGCAAGATTAAGTGGTTTTGGTAAAGGAATTTGAACTATGAACTATAAGAGATTCTTATTTCTATAAAACTGGAAACCTAAAAAAATTAAAGGGGACCCATTTGATTTACGACTTAGACTCGAGATACGATTTGAAATAGTTCTTAAAACATAAAACACGGCCATTGTGCAGTGCAAACAGACACATTTCACTTCACAAGTTGACGTTCAAGCTAATGGTAAAATTATTTACATTTTAGCCTCATCCGATACACGTAATTTTATATTTTCAAATTCATTGAATTTAAAAAGAATATAATGAAACCAGTACAAGGGCGTGACCCCCCCTGCGGGGGGGGGGGGCAATATAAAAAATACCCTGAAACCAGAAGTCAGAACTTCTGTATTGTAAATGTCGGAATGAAGGATTGATCTCCATCTTATGCAAAACTTTGGATTAATTTGAAGTCCAATATCCCGTGATGTTCAAATGTTAGATTAAATTGATTAATCAAGCATTGATTTTGAAAAAGCCCACATTAGATATCGAGATCAAGTGTTCAAGATTAACAATACTCTACACAAAAATTTAAATCTCAGGTTTTTTCCGCTTTAAACTAGTTTTACCTTGGCTTCCTCGTAGAACTCCATTCTTTCAAGAAATCTGGTTTTTACTGGTGTTCCCTCGGAGTGGTCTAAGATACCTAAAAAAAAATAAAATTGTTTTTACTTTCTCTAAAATCTATTTTTAAAATTTTACCAAACTACATAATCAACAATTTTTTATCATGATCCAGAACTTAAATCAAAACAAAACTTTTTCTATCTAGAGCCAACAAAAATAAGATTTTTTTAATTTGTATGAATACTATTTCAATAGTGAGTAGGACTCAGTCCTATAGGTGAACAGAATCGACTCAAACAATACATCGCGATAAACACTGCTATGGTCGGCAGCTCCCGGCTTTTCATGGCTCACAGCTGGCTTATCAAAATCCAAAACCCAAAATTATAACTTATTATTTCCGACACTCCATTACTTTCCTAAAATGATCATTTGGAGTAGCTAGTGAACCACACAGGAGCTTGAAACTTTTAGTGAACCACACAGGAGCTTGAAACTTTTTGTGAACGGAATAAGTTAAATGCATTTTTCTATTTTACTTTTGGTCAATATGCTCTTATTGGTCATTGGTATATTGGTAATAAGTAACGACCAATGAGAGGTTGAAAACTAACTTGATCAGAATACAAGAGAAAAATAAGTTAAACCTGTTCTGTTTATAAGTTTCAAACTCTAAATTCTATGTTTTATATTTTCGAGCATACTTTGATAAACCTCCCAAACTGGAGGCTTCTCCATTCCCTGGTTCTTGTCCATGTTGACAAGGTCCATGAGGATAACGGGGGCGTAAACGTAGGTGTCCAAGGGAACGAGCTTGCAGACAGCGGTCAGTAGGTCCGGGATAGTGTGTCCATCAGCTCTAATCTTGACAAAAGAAAATTTTACAAAAATCAGTAAAATTGTTTTTAGATTAAATTTATTTGATAAAACATCACAAGAGATTATTAAATGGACTGTAAATGCAATTAAAAGTAACCTTAATTCAAAGATTGGTATGTCCAATTCACTACGGTACCATTTAGAGCATTGTAAGATCAAGAAAGCATTATGTCCTTCACCTTATCTTTTTAATTGCAATTTGTCTATTCTTCAGAAATTGTCAGGATCAAACACTTTTCAAGCAAGAAAAACGACCTTTAGCTGTATCCTTGTTAAATCTTATTTGATCAATAATGTGGAAGATATCGTCGTTTTCAAGGGGTATAGCTTTGTAAATTGGACACACCACTTAACTATCATTAGAAATTATGATTATAAAGAAGACACTTCGAAAAATGCTTCAGCACAGAACTTAATCTGGCAATTTGGGCGGCTTAAGTCTTCCGCCCCGCGTACATCCTTGAAATCATCTCTGGATTGTTCAGTAGATTGACCCATCCAACATCTCAGAACAAAACCCTTTAGCTTATAACTTAAAATTTCCCTTTCTTATTTAACATTACAACTTTGTTTTACAGGATCTTACATTTTGATTTTGGTTTCAACAGTAACTCTGACATTAATACCTACAATGTCTACATTCCCTTAAACTATAAATTAATTAAAAAGCAGAATGCAAGATAAAATATTTGTTGTAAGCCTCAAATTCGAAGATTACAGTTTTGTACCTCTTTCGCCCGACCAGCAGCACAAACAGAACTGACCGGAAAGTTGGCGTCAGCTAAAACCAATCTAACGGATAAATAATTGAAAGAAATTGTTCACCTCCTCCCTGGAAATCTTTAAATCCACTAATCCACTGTTAAAAATCAAATATAAGGGACTTGAAGTTCCCCCCACTCTATATTTTTGCCCTAAATTTTCCTAGGAGGGGATATTCCCCCAAGTTGATCTTCAAATTGAAGAAAATACACATCTTTCCCGTATGTCCGTAGCACGAAAAAAAAAATTTATATCGTCTATATTCCCTTTCTTTCTTAACACGAATAGTCTGGAGATTTCCAAAACTTGAAAAGATTTTAAATTGTAAGTTCTGTAAGTATTGGTCTCATCTACAAACTTGTGAAAGATCACAGTCCTTGGATTAAATCGGTTTAAAATAATTCAGTTTTGACGGGGGAAAGGACTTACTAAAATTAATCGAGTTTGAAGACTTATTCTTTTAAGATTATCAAATATTAGGCATGCATGTATTGTGAGAATTGTGACGTTTAAATACTTGAATGGCACTGAGTTTATATGAAGCAAAACAATTGTTTAATATTTTCTTTCGACATTTTAAAAAAACTTACAAGTCTCCATGTCCCATACTACTAAGTGCATGAAGAAGATCAGGGCTTATTATATCTGGAATACCCTTAAGACGACCCATTATCTCTGAAACTTGAGTAATTGATTGATCAAGAGGAGATACAGAATTCAATAATAAGTTAATTTATTCTAACAAGAAATGCAGTGTACATGTTTGGAACATTTATCAAAAATTGAATTGTTAAATTAATAGGGTTTGATTTAAAAACATCTCATTACAATGATGATTTAAGTACATAAAATACATTTCAGGGTACAGACGTCCTACCCTGTATTGTACTTATTCAACCGGGAATTAAAAATCTACTTGCAGCCATTCTATCATTTTATAAAGTTAAAAAAAAATTTCCTGTATTTAAGATTATTACAAAAAAAGTTAAGCTAACTTCTGAAATATAAATTCCATTTGTCATTATTTTAAATTTTAAGCTATAGTAATCTTTTACATAGTTTTAAGGGTAAATAAAAATACTTCGATGTAAGAAATTATTTTACAGTATCATTTGTAAAAAAGAGAATTAAATTAGGTTATTATTTACACCGAACCCGGCTTCACTGTTTTCTGATCAGAAAAGAAAGTATTAGGCTTGAGATAACTGAGAAACTTTCCGAACAGTTCGAGTTTTGTATGTTCAAGGTACTGAAGTAAAGTTTTTATTTGTCTTGGATCATGTTTCTGGTTCCTCTTCACCGTCCTGATCACTCTCTCCGTCATAATACTCTCCGTTGTGCTCTGTCTTCAAGAAATCCATCAACTGGGGCTTCTTATCCGGATCCTCTTCCGGCTTCGGTCGGTTTTTCATAAATCCGTGAAATCCGTCAGGCACGTCGTGCATTTGTACACTGGGTGCACCGGCTAACAGGTCTAGTTGACGTTCAATCGTTTCCACGATTGCCTGGAGGTATGCGGAGCTGTTAGCGTTCTCCATCCTAGGGTTTACTTCCGGATGAAGGGTAAAGTCGGGACTGAAGTACTCGAAGTACTCTGTGTACGGGAGTTCGTTGGCGAGATCCTCCTCGCAGCAGATACTCGTCTCATAGGCCCAGAGCCGGGCCACGTTCCTCACAGTATACCCTCCACCACCCAGTAGCATGAGGGGGATATTAAACTTCTTCATGAACTCAACACATTTACCGTGCCCTCTACACCAACAAATATTAACCCAGCGCAAAATTCAAATGGCCATGAGGATATTGAAATTTTAATTTTTGTGCCTTTTTATTTTAACGCTGAAGCAAAAGTTTAGTTCTTTTAGTTCTCAAAAAATTATTTTCTACTTGTGCACATTCTTTAACCGGATTTGAATTGTAAAGGTGAAAGTTACTGAATAGTTAACTATTGAAATTGTTCCCTCCCGAAAACATTTGAGATTAGACTATATGATCTGGCAGTTCATATTTTTTAAACTATCTACTTAGTTGAAAGGAAAACGGCCAATTTTGTGTTGAAACCCTATCAATTTATTGGATATCTATAATTTTAACAAATAATATTGGATTAAACCTGATCTAATTTTTAGCAGGGCGATCATTCTGCATGGAACATTGTAATGGTCAATGGAACTTTTCTTTTAAATTCTTATTTGAAAAATGTTTTGAGTTTCATTTTGATAAAATATTGAAAAATAAGTTGTATAATATTGTTCCTAGTGCTAAGATTAAAGCAACCTAACCGATCCCCTGATAATGAATCAGCTCCACACTGTAGAACAACTACATTTGGTCGGTAGAACTCCATAACCTGGAAATTATACATAAGGTTACCAACGAAGAATGACACTTTACTCCCGACCTAGAACTGTTTAAAAGGTGGGACATTGTTTAAAGGAATTGAGTTATTGCCAATCTTAATGAGAAGTTTCTTTCAAAGATATAAACAATTAAGTTCGGTCGATAGAACTCCATAAACTACAAATCAAAGTTGAACAATTATTAAATAAAATGGTAAAAACTTTGAAAACTCCTTTCAAGGTAAATATCTTGCTAACTATAATTATGATTTTTTCGTAGCTTTCAGGAAATAATTTATAATTGCACTTTCACTTGCAAACTGTAAATAATTTTTAGATTCATAATTCATAAACGCAGACACTATTCCAAATGGTGCCAGTATGAAGTCTAAACTAAAATATTTTAGTCAGGAGTACGCCTTTTGCAATGCCGACACAAGTTTAGATTTCACAAATCTCCCCCCCCCCCCCAGTCCCTTCCAATGTATCTGTACCTTCTGCATGATTGGCTGGAAGACAAACTCGTAGGACATATCGTCCATCCCCTCCTTGAGAGGTATATTTACACTATAGCATCGTCCACTGCCCGCCCCGGTCTCGTACATGTGCCCGGTCCCAGGGAAGAAATTCCCGTATTTATGAAAAGAAACGGTCATCACACGATCCGTCAGATAAAACGCTTCCTAGAAAACAAAAAAGAATTAGAGGTAAACTGAAAAAAGAATAATGTATATGTATTATGTATTCCTTGTATATTGCTAACAACTTGCCAATATTGTTAACTTGGTGTTTCATGCTTGATGTATGATTTGTGAATTTCTATTAAATATGTGCTTAATTATTAATCCAATCTTAGTTGTATTTAATAATTTAATGAATAATAGATTTTAAAAAAAATGAAAACTTTAGAATTGTGGACGTTGAAATCAATGCTTGATCTCCTCTTTTTATTAATCTTAATATTCATTTAATCTTACATTAATACCCAGGAAAGTATCTAAAATGCAACCAATCAGAGTGTTGATTATAGAAACCGAACAGCCAATCAGAAGCCGAGAAATTTTGAAATTTTACGGGCAATCAGAGAACTCTTGTTTGTCGGAATCCAGCCAGAAGGGATATCCAAAAGAGAGGATTAAGAAGAAAATCAAAAGTGTCCACAGGCACAGTGGATACAGAGATTTAGCAATCATCATTAAAGAAATATAATTAAAGAGTTTTCAGCTAAGTACATAAAAATGTTCGTTAGTATAAAGCTTAACCTGAACACCATCTCCATGATGAATATCTATATCTATATACAGAACCCTGCCGTGGTATTTGAGAAGTTCTAAGATAGCGACCACAATATCGTTCACGTAGCAGAAACCACTAGCTTCAAACTTCTAAAAAAAAGTTTATCAGTAAATTTAATTTCAACCTAGTTCAAGAAAAAAATTGATCCCTTTTTTACACACAGTTTTATTTTAGGCGGAATCAAAGAATGGATAATTCTCAACATTTAATTTGGAAAATTGTAGGTAGACCCAGAGTCATTTTAATTTTACTAGTTCTGTATCTAAAGAAAAAAATTCTTGCTTGCTGAAATGTAGTTGAAATAATTATTCCTAGTTCAAAACTTCAAATTCAGCTCAATAATTCAAAAATGTACGTCAATGTTTTAAAGTTATTACTAACGATTGTCTAATAGAGAAAAAGATATTAATTGAAAATAAATCTGCAACTTTCTACTTATCCCGAAATGCATTTCCGAAGTGAGCTAATTAAATAGTCTGCATGATAAAAAGGAATCCTTTCGTAAAACATAATCAACGTCAATAATCAATACAACAAACTCGTTTTTTATTTGATTAATTGTTGACGTACTTTTGCATGATGTAATCCACCACTCCAGTTTATTGCAATATCAGCAGCTTCTGTATTTAGCTTTTCGGCAGCTTCTAGGCTAGCTCCTGTATACCTTAACAGTAAAGCTACACATGAAGTACATACAAGTAATGTTAAAAAAAAAAAAATTTCAAATTAGAGATGCTATATACCAAAGATGCTATATAGGACCACACTGTAGCTCCTGTTATAATCCTACCTGGATTTCTAGGAGTCAACATAGAAGTAAGAAGAAGTAAGTAAGAAGTAAGAAGAGATGATTAAAATTAAGATTTGATTTGGGAAGGGAAAAATGGTCGTTGATAAATATGATGAAGTACGGAAATTATGGTAAATGAACATCTTTCTGAATATTTATGTTGATTGTTTGTATCCAATGAACGTCAAAACCGCTGAACCGACCGGGCTCAAATTTTACGTAGGACATGACCCCAGAAAAAGTCATTATAGGTCGTTAGAGGTCATTAGAAGGTCAAACACTGGATTCGTTGCTGCTACTGTATTCCTGGGGTTCCTAGCTTTTAATTGATATGCATAAAGCCATTGTTAAAACATTTTCATTTTTGGTTCCCTACATCAAACATGCCAACTCCACCATCCTCTTTTCAAATAAAAAAAGTCCCCCGATGGAAACAGCAAAATCTTCAAAATCTTAAAATTGTTCTTGTTTAATATTGTTCACAGGTAAAATAATCTATAAACAGAAAAAAAGCCTTGTATTCTCAGTAAGGTCCAGCTGACCTACCTTGAACAGAATTCATACAACCCATCGAATACTGGACAATCTGCAGCTCCGACATTGTAGTGGGTTAAACTCTTGTTAAAACTCTGAATATTCGCTGGATTCACTTTCTGCAGAAACTCAATATACTCCTCAGAATGAAACCTAGAAATAAAGGTTTTAAAAAAAGATAAGAAAAGGATCTAAAAACTCTCCCATCTTATAGAGAGCCCAGACCGCCATGAATCCTCAGCTGTTGTCTTTCTACTCAACAGTAGATATCAGTAGATAATAATAATAATAATAATAAGGGTAGATCTGAAAAGGAGGGCAAATCAAATCAGATTATTAGGTAGTATGTACAGTGTACACCCTACTCCTATATCTCAAACCAGAAGTGACTTCACTCAATTCAGAATGTTACTTTGATACGTCTTAGATAATTATTACATAATCTCTTTCTGATAATTTCAAAACCGAAGAATTTTTAAAATTATTATCTCTAACTTGTAATTAAGAACATCTATTAAAACGGACGTAAATAATTCACCATATTAAAAGTCACAGTTTACAACCAGTAGTTTAATTTAATTTTAATTAATTTTACTTTTAATACTATGAACTATATCAATTTATGACTTTAACGAGTTGTGCAATGTAAAACACCCATTTCACTGAATAAATGATTTAATAAGTTGCTAGTAAAACTATTTTGCTTTCTAACACAGTAAATACACTTAAATGTTGCTTTAATGTCGTCTTTTATCCCACAGTTTTCTTGTTCTTCCTGCATATTAATATAATTTGTCTAAAATATATGGAAATTCGTAATTGATAATTATTTGGTATCAATGTCATGGGGAAAGTGCATAAGTCATCTGACGTAAAATTATTTGAAAAAAGTTTACCGAGGGGGAGGGAGGGGGGTTAATATATATATATATATATATAAATGGGCCACTGTTGAAAATTAGTTCACCTTGTCATGTCTGGTCCACTAGCAATGTAGGGCTGAAAGATCTGCATTTTCTTGTGTAAACCATAGTTTAGTACGAGGGAGTGAGTTACCGATAACCTTGAATTAATAGGATAAATAGAAACCATCCTACAAGATAACATACAAAACAAAATCTTAAAAACAATTTTGTTTTTATTATTTTATTATTTTCTCATTTTAGTTTTGTAAAAGCATAAAGTAGGACTAATTCATTAATTGCAAATACAACTTTTAAAGAATAAGTCTATTGGTAAACAGATTGGTAATAAGGATAATAATGAAATCATCCCAAAAATATTTCTCCTTCGCAAAATGTTCAGGTTTTTAATCTCCAAGTTCCCACTCTAGGACAACAAATATTTAAAAAAGAAAAATTTAAGATCAAATTGCAATTTTTTCACCCTTTTGTTACTTTTTTAACTAAAAATCATGTAATTTAGCCAATTCAGGGAATAAACACCTTCAACAAATTTCGCTCCTCACAAGCATATCTTACACTTGGAAGGGGGAGGGGAATAAGTCTCAATAGGGGAGGAGGGGGAGGGGGAATGATTGAATACTGCAGTATAATGATCAGGGGGCTCAACAATATTTATTTTCAATTTGAAAGATTGTACCGGGAAACTACATTTTATCTATTTAAGTCGACCCACTCAAATTAGAATCTCAAACCAAGCTAAGAACATTCCCGTGGGTCTCCCGAGTTCCCCAATCAAAATTTTAGGCAAATCAGTCCAGGGGTTCCCAAGTTATGATCGGACAAACAAAAAAGAACAGACAGACAGATTGACAGACAGACAAACAGAGATTACAACTTTATATTTATAGATACTTAGTCAGACAACGCTTTCGAGGGTACTTTTGTGAATCGGAAATGTTACTCTATCAATGGAGGATTATTTAAATTTACATTTACAGTCCGTTTAAGCTATTTCTGAATTATTAATACAAAGAACTAATTAGATTAATATCGAGTTTTAAATCCAACCTGTGAGGTTTCATAGGATGCATCGGTCCGTAATGAAAGTTCCCTACATCCGGGTCATAGAAGTACGCTACGCGTGGTTTGCTGTGACTCATCCCAGCAGACATTTTTCTGAAATATTATTAAATCTATCGGACATGACTATTACCTAACATAATTAACGCTAGGATTTTTAAAACAATTAAAGAAAAAACATTTTCACAGGTTCCGGTATTCAAGTAAACTTTAGAACTCATAAAAATTTCGTTGTCTATTAAGAATCGTCAGAGACGAAAATCTTTTTAATTATTGCTTCAAAAATAGAAACAGGTTCGGTTTCTTCACTCATCTCATCGATTTCTGGTTCCTTGAAGTACTCAGCTATGCTGAGTATTGTAAAGGTTGAAATGGTTACGATTAGAATATTCTGTTGAATTCCAAAATGGTTGAGAGAACCGTCAGGATGATTTAAATACGGAAATATTTTACGGTAGATTGTTCCGTCCCCTCGTCGTCGATAACAATTCCTAGCAGAGGTTGACAATCCTCCATAGGATATTCTTGAGGATCGTCCTAGGACGGACAAAGTTGATCCTATCATATCTGAATCCTGAGTTGGATCTAAGCTTGAATCTTGGCTCTGTCAATTAGTTCTGATTGAAGTTTGACCTCGCGTTTCCAAGCCTGTGTGTGTGTATAATCAAAGTAGATCATGGACCAACAGGTTCCTCCGATAACCAGGGAAGGGATTGAACGCTTGAAGTGCCAAAGAAATTTAGACGCTCCAGCCGCGGGGGCCATTATCTCTGAAATATAATTATATGAACTAACAATATCTTAGTTCTTCTCGTGAGTAATATTTAACATTATTCTTTAATTACAACAGAACAGTCAGTGAAGTTAGGCTTTGTAGTATGCCTTGTAAACTTTTTACATAAAAAGATATCAACATTGTTTCATCAATATTGTTTCTAATGTTTTAAAATGCATAACTATCAATTTTTAACCCTTCCTTGTCGCTGAAAAATCGCATATCCGACATTGTCTGTTCCACTTCTAGTTCACGCACTCGCTCACTCATGGCTTTAAACTTAGGCGCTCCCTGCGGCGGAAACTTGAACCTCGGTCCGAAATTGAATTTAATATGCGCCTGTTTAAAGAGCCCGGCGGCCGGGTAGTATTCACCCCTGTAAATATCCGTGAACGCCACCCCTAGGCTCTTCCCGTTCAAGAAATAGGAAATCTTGGATCCCTCCAGGGGCTTCAGGGCCTTCAAGTTCTCCTGCATCTCGTCCTTTTCCTCGTAGTACAGGTGGGATTTAAACTTTATCAGGGGTTTATCCTGGTAGTAATGGAACCATATTCATAACCAAACAAAGCAACCTCTGGATAGTGCATAGGCGGGTCCTAAATTTAGAGTAAATTGTGAGTTTTGTTTGCATCATCTCTGCTTTATATTTGAATAAAAATATAAAAATTGAATTATCCCTTGAAACTTAAAAATAACAAAAACAGAACCACCACAAAAAGGCTTGATATCCATTTCAATGAAAAATTAAAGCTTTTTTTAGAGAGAAATACGTTTTTTACAGTTTCTGGTTGATACTTTGCCCTGGTGATAGTGGATGCGGATACATGGATCCGCATATTTTTGAGGATCCGGATCCAGTAAACCAAATGTTGCAGATCCAACGGATCCGGAACTGGATCATAAGCACTGGTGTTAAATTTATTAAATGAATATTAAATATATATGCGGAATTTTCATTAATTGTGAATATGATTCTCCCTTGCAGGTTGGAGGTAGGTAATCAATTCCTTTAGTCTCCGGCATCTCCAGGAGACAACCAACCACGTCCCCCTGCCCGTATCCGTCCGAGTAATGTTTTCCAATACTATCATGGAACTTGGTTCCCTTCCTACTCCTAGAATACACAAGATTAGCAAAATTATATTCCATATATTAAGCTTTGGGAAGAAATAAGATTAATTAGAACTAAAACTTTAACGAACAAGCGATAGAAACTAAAAAATCTAACAGAGAAAGGAAAAAAAAATGTTTTTTGTTTTTTGGGGGCGGGGGCGGAGGGAAATAATAGAGATGAAGATTTTTCATAAATTTTTTCTCAGAAAACAGCCACAATTTAAATGTATACATAGACTGGGAAATAGATGTGGTAATTGGATGGAAAAGCGTCATAATCATACTTTTTTACCCTAAGAAAAAAATAGGCTGAATTGTTAGGAAATTTGGTAGATTACAAAATTTAGAAAATGAAAATAATTCATTTGAATTTGTTTTTTTTCGTAAGAAAAGCATTAATTTGAATTTTCAATCTGTATTAAAGGTGTTTTTTTTTCGTAAGAAAAGCATTAATTTGAATTTTCAATCTGTATTAAAGGTATTTTTTTGCTTGAAAAATCCTCCCTTCTCACAATCTTCTCTTTTTAATATGTTAACTATTTTGGAGTTTTCATCGCTTAATTTGGGGAGAAAATAAATTAATTTTTGGGAAAATTGAAGTTTGATTGCTGCAGTATTAATATTACACCCCCCCCTTCCCTCATCCTTCAAAGATCAAAGGTAATTCTTGTAAATATACCACTTTCCTAGGTGAATTCTGTTTGTTTGTTTACCTACAGGAATATCCGAACTTGTCAAATCCAAGTGGAGCTTGAAGATTTCCGTTCTTCTGCGCCCAACCTATCCTTACAGCCGTTCCTTCAGGTAAATCCGCAACACGGACCTCAAAATACCATTTCCCTAGGATAGGATATTGTAGAGGATATATAGATTGTCTCCTCAGAACAACCCCCAAAAATAAATTTCGCTCTGCGCAAGCATATACAACTTCTGGGGAAAAATGATTTTCTAAAGGGGGGGGGGGGGGAAGAAAAATATATTTTCGAAAACCATTAATGCCTTCGGGAACTATGTGACGTCATTCGCACGGATTGTTTCTGTACAGTGTATATTAATGATTTAATGAAAGTGAATCTTATACCTTTTTTAACTCCGTGTGTAGCTCTAGCTGTACAGTAGAATTTAGCCCCAGTTAACCATAATCTATCATCGGATACTGTAAGCTGAGGAGCTCGGTCCTAAACAACAAAATAATAATAAATTAAACTTGAAAAACAGTAATTTTGATAGAAAATAAACTAGAATTTCATAATCCCTTCGTAAATGTCAAAAAGTTTAATTCATTAGAGCCGCTGAAAATTTAGAAAAAGTATTGATTATTCACCAACACACTAAATGTTCTCTCTTTTTATTCTAACGAATATCTCTTAAAAATCTAATTTCTGCGGATTATTTATTTTTCCATTTCAGCGAATAAAACCTTAACAAAATTTATCCGCTACGCGCAAATATATGGAGGGGGGGGGGGGTGATTTCGAAAGGGGGCGGGAAATAATTTTTTCAAGAAAATATACACCCGGCCCTCCCTTCTGGTGGGAAAGTATTCTTAAAAGAAGCAACAAAATAATACTAAATCAAACTTGAAAAACTGTAATTTTGATATAAAAAACTAGAATTTCATAATCACTCGGAAAATCTCAAATATTTTCATTTATTTCATTATCTAAAAATTTAGATAATTTTTGCAAAAATTAAATGGATTATTTACAACACCAAAAAAAGTCTCTTTTTTTATTCAAAGAATTTTTTTGAACATTTACTTTCTGGTGGGAAAGTAATTTTAAGGGAAACAATTATTCTTCAAATATATGTAGGTAGATCAGAGAACGTTATTGAACTGGGAATGGAAAGTTAATCGCTAATTTTTTAGTGTTGACAGGAGGACAAGATAGCGCTTTAAAAAAAGTTAAACTGTTCATAATTCAACAAATGAAAAATGAAAATTTAGGACACAAAATGGCAGGAGCCTGGAGGGGGGGGGGTTAACATTTCAACACAAACTCCTAAGTTTACAACAAAAGATTTAACTATTCACCTGCAGAGCCAAGAGAACTGATTCTGGTGTAACAACTCGACAGAGGAAGGGGGGAATAGGTTTCCCAGCCATATCTTGACTCTCATCAAACTCCTTAATAATAATAATAATTAAATAATAACAGTAAAATTTATCAAATTAAAGACTAAATTAAAAAGAGTATTTAGAATTTCAAAGCTATAAAGTACAAAATATAATTAAGTTTGACAGTAAGTACATTTTATAGCTTAGTAATCTCAATTTTAAAGGATTTCAAAGGATGGTCGGTTCAATGGGTTCATTACAAAGAATAAAAGACAACAACAAAATAAATTAATTAATAATTGAATCAGATTAAAAGTTAAAACTCAGATAAAAACAAATAATTTTAAGACAAATGATTAAATTATTGCATGTACAGCTTGAACCATCCACCTAGGAGGGTCTATACATACTGATCCAAGAATGCATCCAGTTGGTCAGACACATATCGGACTTATGCATTGTGGATTTAGGGATACTATACTAATTTTACATAAAATTTTAAATTAGAACGAAATAAGAATCGAAATTAGAACTGGACCTTAAATTAAAATTATCCCAAATCCCGCGCAACCATTCCTAATGCAAGTTCAGAAAAAATTAAAAATGGAATATCGAAAGGCAAGTTATTTTTCTTTTTGATTCTTTTTAACCCGAAAATCATTTATTTTCCCCATTTCAGCGAAAAATAATTTTCCGCGCAAACTTATGTAACATCTGAGGAAGAAAAAATTATTTTCTAAAAATTATTTTTTTGAAAATAAAGTAGGAGGATTTTTTTAAAAGAAATTAATCTTCTAAAGTTAAAGGACCATTGTTTGCACCTGTCTACAGGGAGCATGTGGGTCAGGTTCCGCCAGAACATATCTGTATCCATCCCGGTTAAACGGATGCTCTTTAGGATATCCGTTCGGTGGTAGAGGTGGACAAGCTAGTTCTCCTTTAGTTTTCTTCCCGCCCGGACCAGTGTTTTCAAGTTTTCTTTTCGTCCCTCGTCCTCGACCTGTTCCGCCATCTTTAAAATCCGACATCTGAAATTTTAACAATAGAAAATTATCACAGATTTAGAACATTCCTTTCGCCTGTTTCCTCTCGGCCCCAGCCCGGTGTCCTTTTCCTTTGTTTGCGTTCTTCCGAGCTCGGTTTATCAAAACCTGTTTATCTTGACCTTGACCTTTAGGTTTACCAACAACATCACGAGCAGACTGATACTGCTGCTGCTGCTGCGCGGCTGGTTTTCGCGCATTTCTACTCATTTTCTCTTGCCGCCTTCTCTCATTTTCCTGGCGGATTTCCTCGGGGTTTCTGGCAAAATTCATCGGTTTTCTACCAAAGACTCCTTCCTCCTCATCTTCCTCATCGTCATCATCCTCATCGTCTTTCTCTTGAACAACGCGAGGTATTTTACCCCCACCTAGTGCGACTGGTAGTACGAACTGTCTCCCTCCGTCGTCCCTGCTATCTGGTTCCTCTTGTCCCACAGCTACATCATCATATGTATCATCATACTCATCCTTCATATTAGAAATAATTATATTTTTTAAAACCAAGAGATCAAAACTTATGTAAGAATGTCGTTAATTTTGAACGCTTGATTTCGATATCCAATGCGGGCACTTTAATATTTTAGGATCAATGCTTGATCCCTCAAATATAGAGATCCCTGCAGGGTATTACCATCAGTGAATAAAGAATAGGAAGTCACAGTGGATATCTTACTTACTTGACAAAGATCAAGCGTTTAAAAACTAGCTTTTGGAAATGTTTAAAATTTCATAGAGACAATTTTTAATTCGGATTTTCACCCGGTCTCCGAAAAAAAATAACATTAAAAATATAATACCTCGTATTCTCGTTCTTCACCCACCATAACTTCAATATCAGAAACAATCCCTAGTGCTGAGAATCGATCTCTCATACTGTTAATATCCGTTTTATCATCCAAAAGCTTCATTGCGTTCCCGTACTTATTCTTCTTCCCACGGTGTATTCGGGACAAATCAATTTCATCTCTAGAATTCACGTCGAACTCGTCATTGTCATATATACACCTCGGAGCCTGGACAGGTTTAGGTTCAACTGCTTGTCTCTCCAAGGACTGATCTAAAGAGGCGAGGTGCGGTGCAAGGTTTCCCTCTAGTATAGCGTTTACAACCTCCTCAACTTTAAACTGATAATGTTCTAAGCATTTCTCTACAAATCCTTCCCCAAGGAATGGTAACATGTCTCTCACACTGGAGATTAAAGAATCTAATTCTTCGGTTGGTTTTAAGACAGAACTAGTGAGCGCAGTGGCTCCCCCTGTTTCAGGTACAGTTTCCACTGTCGGAGTTACGCTGGATTTCTTCTCCTTCTCTCCCGTCAGTACATTGGAGAAACCCGAACCCTGAGAACTTTCACAAAGTGCGTCCAGGATATAATGCTTTCGTGTTGGATCAACATTCAGACCGCTCTGTTCAAACACATCAAAATCATCTTGAAGTGAATATCTGGAGTTGTAATCTAAGAGGAACGTTCTTTCTTGAAGAATAGTTGTAAATATGGAGAAAAAACCTTCCAATGCTTCGTCTTTATCACAGTGAGTTTCACTCATTACAGGGTTTAAACAGTTAAACTCCACAATAGTTCTAAAGGCTAGGATGGATCTGTGCCTAGATATCTGGAGATTAAAAAAGCAAAGAGTCGACTCCTCTGGCGTTAATATCTCCGACTCAACAAATCTCTCAAGAATCTGCTGAACTCCAAGAATTGTGGAATGGTAGAACCCTGCAAGCTTCATCTCAAAACCTACAGGTTTTAAATATTCATTTCTTTTCTTAACAACCTAATTATTTCCAACTTTTGAGCCAAGATTGAAAATACAACAGTGTGTATTGAGTCATGGATGAAAACATTAAACTAAATTCTTGGTTAAAGTGAGACAACAAAAAACACAACTAAGTAAGAACTAAGTGAATGGAAATTAACAGAAGATTTTAAAAGAAACTATAAGAATTTCAAGACCAATTATCTAGTCCGTTTTCTGCAAGTGGCCAAATCAATATTGTTAAAATATCAGAAACTTTTTAGATTCCTGACTCTTGCCATCTTGTAGACGGTTTATTATATTTCAGGGCTATATATTTTCAATGGACAAGTTTTTCGTCCGTATTAGTATTTAGTATTTAGTTCCCAAACATTCAATTATTTTCTACTAAACTTCTATTTCTTCTCCGATTCAGCGAATAAATCATATTTTTAAATTTCGCTCTGAAACTATTTTTCAAGAAAATTAACACCCCTGTCACATAATTTATTTAAATCCAGTCGTGACCATTAAGTAGTGAGGTAAATATAATAACTATTAAAATTCTATTAAGTTTTGGGATCCACTGACCCCAAAACACTTATAAAAATGCAAATTGATGAAAAATAAATATTTTAAATATTCCTGCAAGTTGAAGAGGTTTCCCTGCCCCCGGGAATATATCTAGAAGAGAATATGTAGAGCTAGAAACATCTAGAAGGAAACCAACAAGATCAAACAATCCGTCAACATTCTTCCGGCTAGGCAGCGACATACTCAACGTCTAAAAATAACAATGGAATAGGAAGACGACATTTAAGCATGATGTTGTTAAAAAACAAATAGTTTTACCAGTAGCTTCTAAAGCTAATGAAATGGGTCTTATGTTTATTTAATGTTGTTATAAAGCAAACAGTTCTAACGGTGAAATAGGTCCGTGTACACTGCAAAATTGCAGTGTTGCATGTTCATTGGACTATGTAAAATCATTACTTGAGTCCACAGTTTTATGGGTCTGAATGTAGAATGATCTCGTCAATGTTTTTCGTTTCATTGATCTTAATCCAAGTATTGATAAATCGACCAATGGCAATCGGAAATTTTCCAGACTTTTTCATGAATTTTCGATTTTTATGGATTAAGAAATGAATTATTGGATCGTTATTATCATATTCCTTCCTGGGATTCAGTCCAGAAGACCAAAGAAAACGACTGAATTAAAGAAGACCCTGTGAAGAAAAAAATTTAAAGGTTTCACAACAGTACCTTATAGGCCTTTATCTGATCAATAATGTGAAAGATAATGTAATTTTCAACCATCTTTAATTCTGATAATTATTCCATGATTTTCCTGCAGTAAAAATGCAAAAGTCAATTTTGTTTAGAAATCAAAGGGGGGGGGGAAGGGGAACGTATTTCTCTCCGGGAAATTTAAACAGTGTTTAAGCATAACTTAGCATTGTCGTAGGAGGCTGATTTTATTCATGGGAACTTAAAACTTGTATATCAGGGTTAAGGTATCCGAATTTTAAACAAATGTTGTGGATTCGAATCCCAAGCAAATATTGTGGATCTAAATCCTAAGGAAATGTTGTGGATTCGAATCCTAAGCAAATATTGTGGATCTAAATCCTAAGGAAATGTTGTGGATCCGAATCCTAAGCAAATATTGCGAATCTAAATTCTGAAGTGTTGTGGATCCGAATCCTAAGCAAATATTGTGGATCTAAATCCTAAGGAAATGTCGTGGATCCGAATCCTAAGCAAATATTGTGGATCTAAATCCTAAGGAAATGTTGTGGATCGAATCCTAAGCAAATATTGTGGATCTAAATCCTAAGGAAATGTTGTGGATCCGAATCCTAAACGAATATTGTAGATCTAAATTCTAAGGAAATGTTGTGGATTCGAATCCTAAGCACATATTGTGGATCTAAATCCTAAGGAAATGTTGTGGATTCGAATCCTAAGCGAATATTGTGGATCTAAATCCTAAGGAAATGTTGTGGATCCGAATCCTAAGCACATATTGTGGATCAAAATTCTAAGGAAATGTCGTGGATCCCAATCCTAAACAAATGTTGCGGATTCTTTTTTGTACAATTTATTTTTAAATAAAAAATAATTCGGATCCAAATCCTACAGAAATGTTGCAGATTCAAATTCTAAGCAAACGTTGCGGGTCCAAGTCCTATGGAAATGTTGTGGATCCGAATCCTATGCAAATGTTGCCAGTCCAAGTTCTAAGCAAATATTGCGGATCCAAATCCTACGGAACTGTTGCAGATCCAAATTCTAGGCAAAAGTTGCGGATCCAAATCCTAAGAAAATGTTGCGGATCCGAATCCTAGGCAAATGTTGCGGATCCGAATCCTAGGCAAATGTTGCCAGTCTAAGATCTAAGCAAATATTGCGGATCCAAATCCTACGGAAATGTTGCAGATCCAAATTCTAAGCAAATGTTGAAGATCCGAATAGTATACACCCTCAAATAAGCTTTCACTGTGTCCTGCTGTGATTTGCAGTTCTCTGACTGAAGAAATAGTGGGTATTAGTGGACGTGCCCAAGCCTATGAATTTACATCAACTAGTGAGAATATGATGTACCTGACACTGTTCCTCAGCATTATCTAGAGCTTCTCCTATAGATTCTCCAGTAGTAAACAAATCCTCGCAATACCGAGACTGTACCTAAAGACATAACCTTGTTTTTTAACATTATCACAGACAGAAAGTTCGGATTGAGATTAAGTCAAGCTAATTACTCATAAATAGATTAGTAAAATTGTGAAATTTAGCTTAGTAGAAAAAATTTTGTCTTAAAAACGAAAAACCAAGCTATCTTTTACACTTTCCAAGTTGAAAAGATGCATAAACGGGACTGTCCTAGTAATTTCAAGAGACTTTTCCTTTTAAGAGGAACATCCCGATTAACAACGGTGCCCTTAAAACTTTTGATCAATTATGTTCTTGCTTGAAAAGTGATTAATTCTGAAACTTCACTAATATATTGATACAACAATTGACGTAACCAATTGGATATTTCATGCTTCTTTTTCAGACAAAGCTTTTAAGGGTACCGTTGTAAATCGGATATGCCACTTTTAAGGCGGAGGGTCACATGAAATTAAGTCTACAGTCCTTTCAGAATTAAAATGAACTAAAAATTAGAATATATCAGGGCTGAAAATACTGTTTGAATAACCAAAATGAAACAAATAAGAAGACCGCCAACACTTGCCAGGAAAAAATAGTGAATTTCCTACAAAAGTTGCCTCTACACCCCACTGCTCTTAAATTGACTCCTTTTTAAGATCAAATCACCTTGAAAACATTTGCAACCATCTTGATAGTAATCTCCCGGTTACAAGGACGGAAGAGACTGCATATATCAATAATCTTGGGTAAATCCAGGATATACTTTTCATAGATCAGGGTTCCATAGTACTCTGGGCTAAAGAACTCACTAGCGGACTCCTTATAGGTGCAGATACGAAGGAAAACCAGGAACAGTTTGTGTAAAATATCTCTATTCCTGATTTGTATTTGAGAGGAGGTGTAAGAGGATGAGGATGATGAGTCGTACTCCCGGGGGAACTGCTGAAGAATTCCTTCCAAGAATCTCTAAATTAACAAAAAAAAAATTAATACGATTATACATCTAGCTAAATAAAGTTTATAGCTGGAAATATAGCTATTAAATTTAACAATAGATTTACTCAAAAATCTTTATTTTACAAATTAGTAATTCCTTCCTCTCTTTTAAATGGAAGATATTTAATGCTTACAGAATCAAATTTTTGTGAAGAGTCGATGACCAAAAATTCATGGATCATTCTTAGTGATATGCAGTAAAAAAATGTTGCCACAAATTTAGGAAATAACCCCTCCCCCCAATTTTGCAAAACGTTTAACCCTGCTTTTATTCAACACGGCTATAAATAATGTGAAATTTGTGGAGGAGAAATGGCAGTAAGACCTTCCCAATACACAGAAGAGGGATTTCAAAGAGGTTTGATTTTTAAAGAATAAATAACCTCTTACAGGAGGGGCATAGGGGGCTGAGCCTCTCCCTGGAAAGAAAAAAAAACTATGATTTTCAGAGGAGGGTAAGCGCCCCAAAGGGGTCTGAACCCCCTACCNCCCCCCCCAATCACCTGAAGGTTTGGATCAAACTGAAGTTGGGACCAGAACTTGTGACAAGGTAGACGGAGTAACCAAACCAAATCCTGCTCAACCTGGTCACCATGAACCAGCCAGGCATCCTCAGCACCTAGAATAGAGTAGTTCCTGTTAAGAAGGAGGGGGAAGGTAAGGTACCTGTCAGCATAAGTTTCTGTAGAGAAGGAGGGGGAAGGTAAAGTACCTGTCAGCATAAGTTCCTGTTAAGAAGGATGGGGAAGGTAAAGTACCTGTCAGCATAAGTTCCCGTTGAGAAGGAGGGGGAAGGTACAGTACCTGTCAGCATAAGTTCCTGTAGAGAAGGAGGGGAAAGGTACAGTACTTGTCAGCATAAGTTCCTGTAGAGAAGGGGGGGGGGGAAGGTAAAGTACCTGTCAGCACAAGTTCCTGTTGAGAAGGAGGGGGAAGGTAAGGGAACCATTCCCTAGTTTGTTTCCAGACCTCATGGATTGCTGGAACATCCTTCCTGACTCCGTTTATTCCGTCCAACGTCATCATTCGCTTCTCAAGTGGAACTTCAACCATTTTCACTTGAAATCATTTAGTCCTATTAATGGGTTTTAACGACATAATTTTTTTAAAAATAACTTCAAAACCTCTTTAACTTTAATTACTTTCCAGGGAAGACTCAGCACCTGTTGGCAGGGGTGTGGGAGGGGGAAATTATATTAAAAAGGGCATTTTTTCTTCCTTCTTGATGCTTCATTCATTTCCCTAAAAACCTTAGTTTTTCCAAATCTACGATTACTTACAGAGAAATTAAGCCAGCGCAAGTATATATTACTTCTTGGGGGAAATTATTACTTTCAAAGGGGGGGGGGAGAGGAAGAAAAAATTATTTTTCGAGAAATTGTACAACCCTGGCTGGAAACCAAAGATTTTACTGATACAGGAGGGGATGAGCCCCCCAAAGCCCCCTACCTGTTTCAGTGTGTAAGCCTCTGGTGTAAACGACAAAAAATTGCATAAATCAGGTAGAAGTTTTGAAATTTAATTACATGTAAAAATATAGTTCTACATTAGGCAGATACCGTCATAATAAAGTAGAGGTGGATTAGAGTTAGAAGTTATTTTAAGGGAACATACTTTCTGGGCCGAGCGCTGCGGCTAGGATGGGCTAAGGGCCGAGCGCTGCGGCCACGGGTTAGGTTAAGTTAAGAAACTTCCTGTCACACCCATGTAAAAATTGATAGGAGGGGGGGGGGTGGGCTGGGGGGGGGCCAAAAATCGTATACTAGGAAATTACCAAACATTTGACAAATAGCAATATATTTAACCGCAAACAGCATTTGGACTCTCTGGACCTGTATACTGGTTTTTAATGATGTAATTTTATTTATGTAATTTAATATATGGCTTAACAAAAAATGTGGGACTTCAGAGACACCTTCATGTATTTTAAATTATAGATGTAAAATCTTCAGTTCACATATGTATATAATCCAGATATTAATTCATTGCCAATTTCTTTGTCATTTTTATTCAGATCAGATCATGAGTTATCATGATGGAATAATTGAGATGAGATGACGGAATAATTAAGACTATAAATTATAATATACAAAGAAATTTGGGGGGGTTAAATTACCATTTGGGGCCTCCGAGTAGTCTCGCCATTTTAATGTTAACAATATTACGATATTTAACCATGTTTCAAATTGAGCTTCTTAAGTTCTTCAGGATTTCGTAATTTTTATTAAACGTCGAAGAGAGTCAAGAGAGCTGAAGAGAGAGAGAATGAAGCCGGAGCAAATGCCGCAAAGTATTCTAATTCCAGAAACAGGGGTAAATATTATAAAACAGGGATAGTTATAGATTAAGGTTAGATAATAGATATTTCTCAAAGACAATTTGAAAGGGAATGCCATTTTGCAACAACTAAAAAAATTCTATCTCTATATCTTTGCAACCTGATGGTGTAAACCTTCAATATTTTTAACTTAGATTGATTGATCCAAGTACATAATTGATCACTGATCAGTTTCAAATGTCTAGACATGGGTTTCAATTGCGAAGATTAAGAATTAGAAAATCAGCGTTTGTGGCAAAAACTCAGTTCCTACAGGTTGGATATCAGGCGACGAGGTTATAGCATATATAAATTGAGAACTGAAGAAAAACTGTGGAAGAAGAATACGACGTTTAGGCCCCAGTCATGATTTTAATTAGCCAACGGAACATAAAACACACCAATTTTTCAGTGTCAATAAACATGAACTAGATTTCATTTCTGCAACATAAAAATATTTGTTTAAATTCTAAAAAAAATCCTGAACAGGTGCGATGTAAATTAAATGTTTTATTTTGTTTAAAATTTTAAAAAACTATAAAATTTGTTTTAAAATGCTTCATTCAAGTGAGGCAACAGGGATGCAATAAATTATAGGAGGAAATATTAATTGCTTCCTAAATTTATTGAATTCCTCCCCTTGGAATGAAGATAAAAAAGTTATTAATAGCTTTTTCAGTGATTTGAATAAGACAGAAACATGTTTACAGTTGCAGGAATTACAGGGTGTCCCAATAAACATGGGAATTCAGTGACGAATTCGATATCGTCTTTTTAAATAATTCTTTGATTTAGTATAGTGACACCTACTGAGAATTAGCTGTAATCTGTAAGAGTTTCGTCTGCTACATATGATCACATTTTGTTTGTTTATGTTTTGACTGCAGACGGTTGTACTTAGTAAAACAAGAAATTTGCTGTATACAAACAGAGTAAACTTGTCCGTCTTCACTGTTCATCTTGCGGAGACATTATGGACACATCTTTACAGCCTTTTACCCTTTTCATAAAATGAACTCCTGCAGACATAATAATATTACTGCTTTTGAAATCAGCTATTACAATGCTAATTCATAACAAAGACGATATCCAATTCGTCACTGAATTCCCATGTTTTTTGGTACACCCTGTATGAATATAAGGAAACTGGAGACAGTATAAATTCCAAACAGTCGTCTCTGAAGTCTCATCTTTTGTGCGTAACCCTGTATCTCAGGGATAGTTTAAAGTTTATGCTGGGCTTGGATATATACATTTCAGAGTTTAAGGTTTAGGTTGAATATATATCAGGGTATAGTTTGAGGTTAATGTTGAATATAGTTCATACATTTCAGGGATTGTGTGATGTTCAAGTTGGATATACATTTCAGGGATAGTTTAAGGTTAAGGTTGGATATATACATTTCAGGGATAATTTAAGGTTAAGGTTGGATATATACATTTCAGAGATAGTTTAAGGTTCAGGTTGGATATATACATTTCAGGGATAGTTTAAGGTTTATGTTGGGTATATATATTTCAGAGATAGTTTAAGGTTCAGGTTGGATATATACATTTCAGGGATAGTTTAAGGGTAAGGTTGGGTATATACATTCCAGGGATGGTTTAAGGTTTAGGTTGGATATACATTCCAGGGATAGTTTAAAGGGAGTGTTCGCGAAAAATGAAAGGGGTATAGGCTTAATGCGATAAAAAAGCGCGTTTGATCGCTACTAATCTTACTTCTATCTGTTGCGTCTATAAGGAGAAAATTGATAAAGACGTCACATGCCGAAGAGCGTAGGGCCCATACAAATTGAGGAAGTTGGAACTTACTACTTGGATCGTAAAAATATCAAATTAATCCCGATATCCACCATTCTAAAGTTTCCAGCTCCGGGCTCATAAATCTGATTATACTAGTATTATTCTCAAAACAATAAGTCTCATGATACACTCTAATTTCAGGATTTCCCTCAGGTGGTATTTCTGATATTATTACCTAAAAGATTTGTCAGATTTACTTTAAATAGTACCATATATAAACAAGAGACAAGCAGTTGTACCTTTCAAACAGACTCATTTCATCAAATCAGATGATTTAAAAGCTACTGTAAAATAAACGTTTACTTCGTCTTTCTATTCCACTGGTTCTCACTGTATTAAACACTAGCTCTAAAATACCATGAAAATATATTAATGTTTGTTTCTGATCGTTTCAGAAAACAACAATACAGCGCGGCGTTACCCACAAAAGATGATACTTAAAAGACGACTATATACGTCATACTTTCTGTGTCTTTCTTGCTTGCCAAATCATTGAATAAGCATGCATTTAAATACCAAATATAATTTAAACTTGGGATCGCATATTTTAAGACTTTCAAGTCGTCTTTATAACAGTCTTATCCTTGGTGGTGTATTTTTCGACCTACGCAAATCCGCTATACTCCACTTCTGACCTACGCCAAATCCGCTATACTACACATCCGACCTACTAGTACGTGGTTTTACAGCTGCTATATGGACTTCTGGCCGCAGCGCCCGGCCCCCTAGACTGTCCTAGCCGCAGCGCTCGGCCCAGAAATTGTCTTAACCTAACCTGACCCTCAAATAATACAAAAATAAACAGCTGGCGTAGGTCCGATATTGCCGTAGGTCGGAAAGTTAGTAGGTCGGAAGTTCAGTAGGGGGGATGTTGCGTATAGACGATGTAACATTACCCTTATCCTTTTAGGGTACCCCTACGTATAGTGTACATGGTTATACGATGAGAATACATTAATATTCTTCTAGAGAATTCAAAATACGCTTTTTGCAGTATACATAAATAATAAAAGAAATGAAATGTTTCTTTTGTCCCGTAAAGATGAAATACAGGGTGCCTCGCGAAACATGGACAGTTGTGAGACGACTTGGAGATCGTTTTTTTTAATCTTTAGATTAGCGAATTTATGCCGCAAATTGTTTCAAAAATCAAAGACGACCTAAAAGTCTCTCAACTTTCAAGCTACAGGGTGTCCCACGAAACATGACAATAGGAAGACGACTGGAAAGTCGTTGTTGGTATTTGACTTTATTTGTGACATTTAGTCTTCTATCTACTTTAACATGTATGATTCTTGAAACAATTATCACATAAGTCTCCTAGCCCTGGCATTTCCAAAAAGTGGTCTGCGTTTTTTGTGCTTTCAATATTACCTGAGATATAGAGTTTGGTTCATATTTCAATTTTGTTAAATAAAAGCAAAATTGTCGAAATCTGAACGTTAAATTCTTCATATCTCGGGCAATATTGAAAGCACAAAAAAGGCAGACCACATTTTGGAAATGGCAGGACAAGGGAAATTTTGTGATTATTATCTCTAGAAATTTACTTCTAAAATTAGGTTGACAAATAAACGCAGCATTATATCAAAAATCAAGACGACATTCAAGTCGTCCTGCACTGTCATGTTTCGTGGGACACCCTGTATATGGGACTTTCTATCTGTTCCTCTATAGAATTTAATAGAAATATTTTTATCAAATATTTGATATTTAGTCGAGTAGTAAGTTCATAAATGGATATATTTTATTGCTCTATGAGAGGAAAACATTATTATATTTTTATCTATTTATATTTACTTGTTGAAGAATGTAAACACTATCTATTTGAGATAAAAATGGAGGATTAATCGACCCATGTCGTACTGCAAGAAGTGTATTTTGAGTTGTCCACTTCAAACTAGACAGTTCAGGAGAGGGCAACATTAAAACGACATTATTCTATGTTTTTTTTCCTCGTATAAATTTGACACAGTTGTATATCAATTTCTCGAGATAGGAACATCAGATATAACTTTCATGGGCCGCGATCGAGAACTAAAGTGATTAGCTTTCAGCCTATACCCCCTTTCATTTTTCCTTTACAGTCCCTTTAAATTTGATTTCAAGTATGAGAAAAGCAAATGTATTCAATCAAATTTTAGAAATTTTAGAAATTTTTGTCCTTCTCAATAGCTCTTCAAATAAGAGGAATTATGATGAAAAATATAAGATTACAATCTTACGTAAGGCATGCAGTATAAAACTTCAACAATTGTTTTCCTTTAACAGCAATATGTTGCAGCCAAAGAGGAGAAATCAGGAATCTATATAAATTTAGCTTGTCTGTCTGTCTTTTTGTTTGTTTCCAATAAACGTCAAAACGGCTGAACCGATCGGGCCCAAATTTTGTGTGGGATCTCACGTAAACCCAGGGAAGGTTTATGAATGTTCAATATTTTAAAAAATTGTAATTAAAAGTTTTTTATTTTTGAAAATTTTGAAAATGCGCCAAAAAAAAATATTATGAAATATTTATACTGTACAAAAAGAAGATGCTCACAGATAAAGCCACAATTAAAAGTTGAAATAGAATATGGGCGCGAAGCGCCCTAAAAGCCTAGTTAATATAGAAACAGGAATAAATAAAAGCAAGAACATATTTTTTAAAAGAGGAAAATTAGTAGAAAAACAGGAATGAAAAGATAACAAGAATAAGTCGAGAACAGGAATAATTAGAAAACAGCAATGAAAGTACACACAGGAATAAGTATAAAACAAAATAATTACAAAACAGGAATTAGTATAGAAAACATAAAGATAAATATCATTTCGATAACATTTTTTTGGAAATTGGAGATATCAATAACGGTGTTCTTTTTATTTTAAAAAGACTATTGATGACTTTGAACTTTTTTAGTAAACATATTTTACTTAAATGTATTCTAGTAAATTTGTAGTTCATTATTCGACAGCAAAAGTTCAGCTGTATGAATATTTGTTTGAAAAAGAAAATAGAATTATTTTAATTTTGCACACAACCAATGAAAGAACGCTCATTTGTCGGAACCTAGCAGGGATATCCAAAAGAGAGGATTAGACAGAAAATCAAAAGTGTCCGTAGTGGATATCGAGATGAAGCTAACGGGATGAAGGGTATCCAACAGAAGAGTTTCCAGCTCAGGTCATGTTTGTTGAATGCTCCTTCAAATTCTTCTATTTGCTTTCTTCCATCCTTATCTTCTTTAATTCATATATTCTTATCCAATATCTTCTATCTTTACTCTTTCTCTCTTATATGTTCGTGTAGTGCAGATTCTCTTTAGCTTTTATTCTATTTCCTAGATTTTTTCAATATTTCCTATTACTTTACCCTACTCAAAATCCCAGTCTTTTCCTTCTTACCCAGCTGATTCTTATCCACATGTACTTCCTACCCTCGTTTACTTTCTACCCTTCGTTTTCACTTAGTCTTACTTTCTTACTTATTTTCCAGTTACCATGGTGATATTCGTTTCGGCTTATCTTTTTTTCCATGTTTTTTTTTTAAATAAAAAAGACAATTTTTGTATTATTCAATCTATTTCAAAATTTGAAAAAACGGCGATTTCGTCCGTACAATTTATCAGATTAAGGCTACCACAGAAAATTGCGGGCCCTAGCGCACGTACCTTTTAGATTATGCTTGTACCATTGGAAATTACATTGGCATTCAAAAAATACGAAAACCCCTCGAGGAAATATTCCAAGCTTTCCAAAATGTTTTCAATCTTTAAATATAAAAAAAAACATATTTAATATTTTATATTTAAAGCATTTTAGTCACAGTTAGTCGATGGAATCAGAGCATAAAGAAAACTAAATTTTGAAAAATGATAATTTTGATGAATAGTTTAATCTAGCAGCGTGGTAAGCTTCAAATTATCAGGAATTAAACGTAAGTTAATTTTTAAATATTTTGTTATCTCTCGTTAGTCGTTACCCTAATCAAGGCAGTATTAAACGGACTGTAAACGTGATTTTAATTGACACTCCATTGATAAAGTTGCATGCCCGATTCAAAACTGTACCCCTTTGCCTGATCAAATATGAATTAAATATCCATGTTTTGTTTTTCTAACGGTTTTTTCATCTAGGGTTTCTTTCCAAAAGTGAGTCGCTATAAAAACCACGACGACAGTCTCATTAAGTAAATTTCAAATTCTAGTATTATATCTGAACATTTATTGTCGATTTAATTATAATTTATCTTTGAATTGAGAGAATTAAGTTAAACGTACAAAAAAAAGTTCGCTTATATTTAGTCAGAAACGAGTTTGAAACATTTTATGTAACAACCCAAAAATACTAATTTCTCTAGGAAACGTTTTTGGCACGAAAACTTATCAGTTTACATTTTTTTTGACTCCCCTGAAAATCCCATAAAATTGTGTAATTGTGTAAATTTTTCATAAATTCAATTTTTAAACAAACTAAAACTTATCAGTAGAATTTAGTTATAGATACGACTCGTTGTTTTACAACACTGCACGTACTTTAAATTGAATTATAAAATTTTGTTTAATGAGGTACATTTATGATTTGTCAAAAACGAACATAATGGACTGTATTCAGCGGTTCTTTCGGCCTTCCATTATAAACTTATTTGGATAAAACTGAAAAATATTCCTTATCGAATTGGATTTATGATTTTTAATTCGTTAATGACTGAATCAGTTTTAACTTTTTAAATTTTTTGCTTTTTCAAATGTTGTTTTTAGTTTGCTATTTTATGATTTTTTAAACAGTTTCACACTGAATAACGCACGTGAGCATAAAACTCAGAGAGTTACTAATTAGATATGTGGATTAATACATGTTTTTTGAAAAAAAAAAATACTTTTTTGAGACATTGACTTCGTTGTAAGATTTTAACAAGACTTTTCAAATTACAGTATTACAAGCATGATACATTAAAATAATCTGTTAATTGACAACTTCTCCATTTTATGTGAATCCAAGCTGTTTGAAAGCTTGGCAGAAACCTAAATTTAAATTTAAATTCGTCTTCATTGTATTGATATATACGACGACTGTACGGAAACCGACCTAAAGAATACCTAAACTACTTATTAAGTGGATTTCACATCCATGCATTTAATTTGATGAAATTTCGACATCACTAGAACCCCCCCCCCCCCTGCCTTCCAACTCTACTACTTTGTCCTTACCTATCAAAGATGTAATACTTTTTGAGAAAAACATTGGCAAGTACGTTTAAGTTTGGATAAGCTATTTCACCCGCAGAATAAGACATGAATTTAAGTTTTCTTCATAAAAAAAATACAACAAAAGTTATTTATATTTCCTAAACAGACATTGTACTATTATGCTCTCTAACAATGTCATATTTTTTGTGTTATAATTATTATCTCTTTGTCTCAAAATTGTAAAAATCCTTCTCTAATGGTTTTAACAGAAAATATTTTTCACTCGTTATTTTGTGTAACGAAAACAAAATGGCGGATTTGTTTAGACACAATGCCAAGTAACGGAGATGTTAATGCTCTAAGCCTGCCCGAAGTATTAGAGGCTGCAAGGATTGAGCTTGGAGAGGACAAAAAGCAGATGGAGGTCAGTTATTGTCAGCTGACACTATCAAATTTCAAATTGTCAGCTCACACCATGAAATTTCAAATCATCAGCTGAGAAAATAGAAAAAAGGAAAAGGAGAAGGAACAGAAAAGAAAAATTAAATATTTAATGCTTATATTTTAAAAATAATGGGTGGCGGATTTTTAGTATTTTTCAACGATGAACTCATGACTTATAAATAAAAGAATTTTAGATTTGATAATAATGTTGAACAAAATACGAGTTAAATGTGCGTGAAAAAGAATTATCAGCTGAGCCTTTATAATTATCGGCTAAAATTATAAAAATTATCAGCTGAAACTATGAAACTATGAACCTGTAATTTTGAAATTTTGAATTCTTAGCTAACACTATGAAATTTTCAGTTGAAACTAAGAAATAATTGGCTGACACTATGAAGTTATCAGCTAAAAGTCTGAAACTATGAATTCATAGCTGACACTTTGTAACTATCAGCTGAAAGTATGAAGTTATCAGCTGCATGAAACGATGAAATTATCAACTGATGCTACAAAATTATCAGCTGAAACTTGAAAGCCTAAAACTATGAAATTATCAGCTGAAATTATGAATTCTTAGCTGACACCATGAAATTATTTGCTGAAACTATGAAATAATATGTTGCCACAAGCCTATTTTTTATTTCGATCATATCAACAAATAATTTTTTGTTGGTTAAAAAATATCAAATATTTTATCATTTATCATCTACATAATTTAGTATAATGTGCACTTCATATTTGGTATCAAAATAACACTTAATATCTTATCATCATTTATTATTTTTTTTTTCATTTTAAAAGCCCATGGGTGTACGATTACATAAGTTATACAGAAATTTCCAAAGAAGTTTATAAAAAAAGATGATAATAATTCTAATTAAACGAAATTGTTAAATCTGGCGATGATATTTAAATAAAATCTCAAGTTTTAGGAAAAATATATTTTAAGGAGGGGGTGAAAATGTTGAGAGAATGGATCAAGAAGAGTCCTCACCTACATTCAATTAAGCAAGGTCCGTTGAATCCGCAATATTTTGGCACAATAAACCCGGATCCGGATCCCGAAAAATATGTTGATGCGGATCCTAAAAAACATGTGAATCCAAGAAGCAAAATATCAAACTAAACCTGCTAGAAAAAAGTCGCTCTCAAAACACAAACCTCAACTGCATTAACTAAAAAGTTTCAGCATGAAAAAAAAACGAAAAAGAAGAAGAAATGTTGTTCAGGGTGGATCCGCGTCATATTGAATCGGATCCTAAACACTGGGTAAAATATTAATGGTTTAGTGCTATGTTTAAATGGACGTTTCGGATTTGAGACTTTTTTTGAAAAAGTTTTACTTTAGATGATACAACTTTGGAAATGTTCTTCAGAGGGTGTAAATATAGCCTGGAGCGAACCAAGGTACAGTGGTTGGATATATCAAGATAATAAATGTCGACTTTTTTCCATGTGAACCTTGGAAACCATGGGCCGGCACAGGGTTTTTTAAAAGTGACTTTTTTAAATAGCAAAACGAGAAGATATGTAAAATTTGTTTTATTCTATTAAGAACAATTATAACTTTTAAAATCACAATCTAATGAATCTTCACTTTCAAATTTGTGTCTCCTACGCCGCGCCTCCAGAGGTCAGAACTATTTTATTTTGAATCTCTGGATCAAGTATTGATCTAAGCGAACGGATTAATTTAATTCCTCTTGGATATCGACCATACAAGGCAGAGTTAACTAAAATGAAGGGATAAAGCACCTATCTCTCGAAGGAATCGAGTCTTTGCCACAAACTCTGATTTTCTAATCCATGAATATCTCTGCGACCAAATATCGCAGACCTTAGATATTTCAAACTAAGAATTCTGTTACATCAAATTATGTTAGGTTGAAATATTAAAGATCTACAATATCAAGTTGCAAAGAAGTAGGGATTAGAACATTTTTGTTTGTGACAAAGACTTAATTTCTTTAGAAGTTGTCACAGTATATGAAGATCAAGCGTTATAGATTAGCCCGCGCCATTTCATACAAAAGCTTTGGGCTCATTCGGTTTATTAGAAACATTGTATAATAATTATACATATAATTATATACAAATATTTTTCAGGAAAAATTAGACTTCTTCAATACAGTCCGTGGAAATCTGCCAGAATGGTTCGATTCATGGGATCCAAGGATACCTGTACTCAAGGATATCATTGATGCAGGGTAGGTACTGGATATATGGGGTGGATACAGTATTCATGGGACCCAATGATACCTGTAATCAAGAATATCATTGATGCAGGGTAGGTACTGGATATATAGGGTGGATACAGTATTCATGGGCTCCTAGGATACCAATACTCAAGGATATCATTGATGCAGGGTATGTACTGGATATATAGGGAGGATACAGTATTTATGGGATCCTGGCATACCTATTATAAAGAATGTCATTTATGCATGGTAAGTATTGGGTATGGGGAGGATACAGACCATGGACATGGTATGATACAGGATCCAGGGTAGGTTTGGTAGGATATACGATTCTGGTAGGTTTTGGCAGGACAGACACAGTATACAGGGAATTTTCAGATTGGATAACTTTCATTATTTAAATGGTAGTGGTGGATGAATACAGCTTTACAGGATACATTTAGGTTTGGAAAGATTTAAAATAGATGGTATTTTTGTGGTTGCCACAAAATACAAGTTAAGTTTGGCTAGGATACACAATAAAAGGCATTTTTGTGGTTGATAAAGGAGACGGGATAAATTTAAGGTTTAGTCTGAGAAGAGGATAAACAGTGTAACTGTGTAGGATGCAGGTTTCATAACAGGTTTATAGGTTGGATACAGGATACAGGGTAGGGTGAGGAAACATGGTAGGTTCGGGATGGATACTTATTACACAGTAGGTTTATGTATTGTATAAGATACAAGATACAGGGCATTGTAAATTACGTCGTACATTGTTCATATAGTAAATGTGCCAGTAGTAATTACGCAGTATTGTGATCAACCCATTCCATATATGTATATATATATATATATATAAACTCCGTCATACCCGTATTGTGATTGTTTAACTACATTATATATATAAAAGAGCGCATAACTTGTAATTACGCTGATATGAAGCAAAATTTCGCAATAAAATAATGCAAAAATGCGAAGACAGAAGCTTAAAAAGATAGCTAGTGAAATCAAATTTCATCAAACATTTATAAAAGTAACGGATCGAGAAATTTTTTATATGACATAATAAAACTTCAAATATTTAGCCATCAGAGCAGAGAATTCCACAAGTTTTTTTCAGAAATTAATTGTTGCAGCTATAAAACATATGGTTTTCACAAAATTTTCGCCTATCGCAAAAATAAATTTCGCGAAATTTTGCTTCATTTACTTAATTTGCAAAAATTCCAAATTTTGAAAAAAAAGTTTGCAAAATGCAACCAAAAATTTTCGTTCGCTGGACACCCTAGCTACAATAAGCACACTGATCCAACAAAACTCTACAATGCTTGGCTCATTTGCCTTCCAGAAACAAGATTGAAAGAAGCGTTCAATATCTGTCATGAAGGAATAACTTCCGGACATAGAGGAGTGGCGAGCATGTTAGACAAGTTCCAGAGAACCTTCTTTGTTTTATCAGCTCGAGACAGGATTAGAAGAATAGTAGAACGTTGTGATATCTACCTTACCAAAGAGGAGAAGTATCAAACCTAGGATGGGACCTAATGTGCCAAGTACAGTGGGGAATGTTGGAGAGAAAGTCTTCGTTGATCTGGTATCATTCTCCAAAGCAGTAAGAAAGCATCGTTATTTGTTGACAGTACAAGATGGATTCACAAGATTTGCCATGCTTATCCGATTGGTAACAAGGAAGCTGGTACAGTTGCAAGAGTTCTAATTCGAGAACATTTTAGCGTGTCCAGTCTACCAAACCAGATACACTCGGACAAAGGCGGAGAGTTTATCAACCAGCTATGGAAATTGAGTTATATCAAGAGTTGAAGATATTCCTGATGTCCTTGTGTGACATTTAGAGCATTGGATCGTCCCCATCATTTGGGATCGATATATAGCTTGTTTGATTTCTAGGCTCGTGTCCCTGTGTGACATTTAGAGCACTGGACCGTCCCCATCATTTGGGATTGATATATCGCTTGTGTGATATCTAGCTTTTTGTCCCTGATTGGCATTTAGAGCACTGGATTAATAGCTTGTTAACTATGCTTGTGTCCCTGTGTGGCATTTAAAGCCTGGTGGGTTGTGTCCTGGTTAACTTTGATGGCGGACGGGTTGTACCTGGATAGATACGTCTTGAGAACTTGTTATGGAGTAGGTGTTTACTACAGGTTTGGGATAGATACGGACTACAGAGTAGGTTCAGGTGAGGAAACATGGTAGGTTTGCGATGGATACAGTCTACAGAGTAGGTTTAAGTAGGATACAGTATAAAGGGTAGGTTCAGGTGAGGAAGCATTGCAGATTTGGGATGGATACAGACTACAGAGTAGGTTTAAGTAAGATACAGTATACAGGGTACGTTCAGGTGAGGAAACATGGTAGGTTTTGGATAGATGCAGACTAAAGTGTAGGTTTAGGTAGTATACAGGATACATAGTAGGTTCAGGTGAGGAAACATGGTAGGTTTGGGATGGATACAGACTACAGAGTAGGTTTAAATAGGATACAGGATACAGGGTAGGTTCCATGTGAAAAAATATTGTTTGGTCTGGGATGGATACAGACTACTGGATACAGTGTAGGTCTGGATATAGGACGTATGGTAGGTTTAGATAGGATACAGATGAAACACAAAATTATCATATTTATTGTATCAATCAACATTATGCGTCAATTATTTTAGTGTTTATTACAAAAAAAGACAAGCCCAAATATTTACTGGTTTCAGATAAATTTCACTATAGAAGGGGATCATTCATTTGGCGTACCTTCCCGTCGTTCCAGTTATATATAGTCTATATTTGTGCTGTACAGCTTGCTCTAGTTGATTATAAGAGAGTACAGTGGTTGGTTGTGCATTGTGGAAAGCATGAAACATCAAATATAGTATAAATTCTATTTCTAAGAAAAAATGTGAAGATACAAAAATCTAGATAAAACGTATTTAGAATATATCTGCCACTACGAGGCTATGACAAGGACGGAAGGTTTGTTGTCCTCATGAGGAACGGATCAAGTAATCCGAAAACTATGAAGCTTGAGGACACCTTCAAGGTAGAATAATATAATTTTGAGGATTTTTAAAGATATTTTCTGCGCATTTTCAAAATAGAACTTTTTAATCCTTATATCTTTGCAACCTGATGGTGTTAGCCTTTGAAATTGAAGTATTTGATTTGTTGATCTAACAGAATTCATAGTTTGAAACATTAAAGTTCTACGAAATCAGGTTGCAAAGATATTAGTGTTAAAACAGTAGAGTAATCTGTTCCTCTATGATTTAATAGTATTTTTTAACAATTAATTTTCTATTATTTTTTAGTGCAACTCCAATATCTTATTATTTTAAAAACAATAATAAATAACATTGCTGATTTATTACTTTATTGAAAACAAGAATTTAACTTCTGTAATTTGTTCAGGTGAGTACTATGATTATAGAGCTAGCGATGCGAACCAATATCCAAGCTCAAGTTAAGGGATTTGTCCTTATACAGGTAAATTTTTTCATCAAAATAATAATTAAGAATATTGTTATTTAATAAAAAATATTTAAAAGTTTATTGTTTAAATATGAAAATTGCTTTATTTAAGAACCCAGCGTTGTTCGTGGAATTTTTAAAACAGTTAAAAACAAATTTCGAATTAAAAAAAATTATTTTTGAAAAATAAAATTTTATTTCTTTTAGCTAACTCATATACAAAGATACAACAATACAAATTATATATATGAGCAAAGAGAATTATTATATAGATAAAGAAAATATTTGTGTTTAAATATAACATTTGTGTTTGAAGATAATATTTGTGTTTAAATATAACATTTGTGTTTGAAGCTAATATTTGTGTTTAAAGATAACATTTGTGTTTAAAGATAATATTTGTGTTTAAAGATATGTTATTAAATAAAATATAATTAGATAAATATTTGTTATATTGATATATTATGTGATACTGTTTCCAGTTACAGTCTTTGTCTTTACATATGTTTCATGAATAAACGTTCACTTACTTTTGATCCACGTCTCGCCTTATTATTCAAATTATTATTGCAGGATATGGCAGGAATGACAGCTCAGCATGCAGTTCAATTTAATCCAGTCATTGCGAAGGAAAATTCAGTTTCTTATTACTAAAATTTGTTTGTTAAAGGGACTGTAGAGGTGCCTATATTTCAGATCTTGTTGAGATCGAAAAACCACGATATCTAACTCATTTTCAATAAAGGTTAAAATGGGGCCATTGAGAATCAGGCAAACAGCTTTTTGAACTGATGGGTACGGGAAATTAAGTGGGCAATAAAAATTTCCATGCAATTTCTATGTAAAGAATTATTTTTAACTCTTGGAAATAGCAAGACAATTTAAAAACTATCGTTCATAGCTTTTTGTTTACATTTTTAATTGTAAGAAACTTATTTTGTTTCTACCCAGAAAGCTATGACTGTATGGCAGGATGCGTACCCTGCTAAGCCAAAGGTACATTTTAAACATATTTGTTAAAGGTTCTAAAAGTTGAATTTAAGATGACAATCCATGGACAACTTGTTACTGTTAAACCGAGACAATGTGGCCATGTTTTGATGGGTACTATTTTCTAATGAAAGATTGTACAGAGGTTTATTATTTGTGGATTTTATTTATTTCATATTATTATATGTGGCTAGATTTTCTAACCACATAGGACAGGGTGAGTCAAAAAAAGTGTGATTTGCGGCGCCTGTTGCTGTCTCCTGTATGGTAATTTATCAATATTTTTTGAAAATTTTTAATTTTTTTTGGTACTTCAATGACCCAAAAAAATCCGCGAACCTTTTTTTCTTACAAATCACAAATTTTCAAAAAATATTGAAAAACCACCATACAGGAGAGTTGCACAAAAAAGGTACAATTTTGCATCAGGCGCCGGAAATCACACTTTTTTTGACTCACCCGTTAGAAAAATTAAATATAAAGTTTAATTGGCTTGTCTTTTTATGTCAAAATTTGATTATTTGATCCAACAGAATTTGTAATTGATGTGTACGGCATTTGGTTGCACAGATATAGAATGAGAAAGTTTGGTTTCTGGCATAAACTCAGTTCCTGTAAGTAAGCTCCGTAAAACATGTTTATATTTGAAAATTACTGCAGGCCCTACACTTCCTGAATATGCCTGGAGCTATGGAGAGTATTTTCAGCATGGTTCAGAGCTTACAGAAACAGAAGATGAAGGAGAGAAATCATGTTCATTCTAAGGTTCGAAGTAACTTCCAGAATGAGACTATATATACAATAAGAACCAGAAAACTCTGGAATAGTAAGACGACAGTAACGCAATATTTAAAATTCGGTGATGATGATGGTGATGGACCAAACCTCTGTAGAGTAAAAAAGTAGATGTTAATTCCACATTTATTGAAAATATATTTCGGTCATGGGTTGACCCTCGTCAGTTCTAACGATATAATAACCATCAAAATCGATAACAAATTAAAATAATGTAAAAATCAGAATTAGATAAACAAACAAAAATGATTATTCAAAATAAAAATTTGGTCTGTCAAATGGACATAAGGGAAACGAACTCAGGAGATGGAAAAAGATAATTTGCAAATATTCACTTTAAAAAAATGTTTTAAGACAATTATTATTCCTTGAGATTGTTTAAGTAACACAATAATTAAGCGTATTTGATGTTTTTACAAAGCAAATAGTTTTACTATAGTAACTTATTAATCCATTAATTATCTTCAAACAAAACAATGTCTCAATAGAGGTAATAAGAAACATAGAGTACATATATATCATGAGAACAAGCTAAATAATGTACGTAAAAACAATTCAATATAAGTATTTTTACTGACATGAGAAACAAACAACAAACAAGTTTCAGCTGCAATGAAGCGTGAGTTTAAGAAAGCAAACTAGCTAAAAGTTTTTGTAAAACCTCTTTTTTCAATAGATACCCTGTTTTATCTTAGAACATTTCACATTTTCTACAATCTACAATGAGAACCAAAAAACTCCGAAATAGAAAGACGACTTTTATATGACTTTAAATAGTCCAATTAACATAAAACACGGCAATTGTGCACTATGCAGTGTAAATAGATTTATTTTACTGGATAAATGACTTTTACTAAAAAAAGCCTAAAAAATTGATCAAACGCAAAGCAACAGTTTATTTTAATCGAACTTTCGCAGAACTCACAATTTTAAATATATGAAAGATATCTAGATTAGACTATATTGAGGAGAGTTAAGAACAAGAGGATAAATATATTAAGGGAGCCAATTTTTACCTTAATTTTGAAATCTCAATTATTCTCTTCTGGAATTGTCAATCTGAACAACTTAAAAAAAAATGTTTTCTACAAAATTAAAATTGCCGTGCAAAAAGGATTTTAAAGACGAAAAAAACAAAAATTTCGCTAGTAAAGACAAAAATAAATTTATTCAAAATATGTTGATATGTGTGTCTAAAGATGCGTCATGAAGCTGTTAAATACTGTACATTTGTATTTGTCTCGATATCTTGAAGATTGTTTGATTTAGGGCCAAAAAACGGATTTTTTTATTTTGAACTAATTATGGCTTTAAAAAATTTAATTTTTATCCGATTTTATTGATTTCAAAGTTTCTGAATTTAATGTTTCTACACGAACCTTGTGATACTCAATTCGATGTATTTCTATTTTTTTTTTTTTTTGCTTTGATACTCTCAAAACCCGGTGTGGCGTTATTTCTGGGTAAACGTTAAATAATGGTAGTAGATTCTACGCAGCAATTTTTTCCGCGGTATCCGCGCATATTTTTGCAGTTTACGGCAATGTGCACAACAGAAATCTGGTATTTTATTTGAAATTTCAAAATTAGAAATTATATATATTTATACACTTAAAATATACACTATATGCTGATATAGAATGAGAGTACAGAAGTATAATTAACTATACTTTAAACTCTCATCATTTGCAATTAACTTTCGTAAACTAAGCTGTAATATCGATCCCTAATGTTAAAACAATTGATATTTACTGTCTGTCGCTCAGCAACACTTGATTGATTCTCAAATATGAGAAATACTTTAACTTAATTGACTGTTTACATTCACAGAATTGTGCGTGAATGCCGCGGAAAATTTGCTGCGTAGAGTATACTACCATTATTTAACGTTTACCCAGAAATAACGCCACACCTGTTTCCGCTTGGCAATTTGATTTTAAGAAAAATCTGGTTTTTTAATGTTTCTTGTATATACAAGTCCATTCCTATTCCAAGTGGCAAAAGTTGGTAGTGGCATGTGCAATTGTAAAATCGGCCCCCCTTAATATGTAATACGTAATCTATGTAATAAAACAAGACATTCGTATATATTTGCTTATAGCCGGCCAAACAGCTGGATTGATCGGGCTGAATTTGTTTGCGGTATGCCGGGGGGGGGGGGGGTGTCGGATTTTTTTCAAGATATTTTTTAAAATTTTGTTTTTCCAAGGGCAACGCCGAGCCCTTCAGGTAGTAAGTATATATGTATATGAGGAGTGGGATGTGTATCTGTGGATGCACAGTGCAATTCATCCACACCTTTGATATTTCAAACTTTAACCATTTGATTCAAAAGAATTCCTAGGTCTATGATATAAGTTTAAAATTGTAAAGATAAAGCTTTGGGTATGAGGAGTCGAGAGAATTCTGTTTTTTTGCAATAAGTTAACTGTCGAGTGGAATTTTATAAAATTTTCCTGTATAAGTAACTTTAAATATTTAGGGGAGCTTAGAAAAGCTTCATCAGCATCTTGGAACTGAGGTCTTGCCTAAGGTACTATATAGTACAGAGCGTCCCATATATATATTAGATTATCTCGAATTTTTAACGCCAAAATACGCACATAATGAATATTTGTTTTGAAATTTTCTGATTAGTCCTTAAAATCACAATTTTGAGCTATACACGATCTAATATGATGTGGGACACCCTGTATTTACATCATTAAAGGAATTGCTCACAGATAATTCACTATTTTTCGGAAAAGAGGAAAACAAGGGTAATATAAACACTTTAAACGACGCAGTGACTACGCACTAGCAGGCACTCTCATTGCTCAATACGCGTGTCAGTATGTTTTTTTTAGAAGAAAACAACAATATTAAAGCATGCTAATCAAGACATAAAAGTGATTTGTTTAATAAATTAATAATTAATGATTTTTAGCTCAGGAATTTACGCAGACAGCTTTATATGAAACTAGTTGGATAAAGGGGCGTTTGCATTATTATTCAATATTCATAGTCTTCGTTACTTCCACCGTTTACCCGCGCTTGGTGGTAACTTATGATTTTTAGCTGAAGTTGCCCGGCGTCGCCGTGGGATTTCAAAAATTTCAAATATATTTCACCTAATTCATAGGTTTCCTAAAAAAATCAGCACTGTACTGTACTGTACTGTAAATATGATTAGACTGTACTGTACTGTACTGTAAATATTATTAGACTGTACTGTACTGTACTGTAAATATGATAAGACTGTACTGTACTATAAATATAATTAAACTGTACTGAACTGTAAATATGATTATAATGTACTGTACTGTAAATATGATTATAGACTGTACTGTACTGTAAATATGATAAGACTGAACTGTACTGTAAATATGATTAGGCTGTACTGTACTGTAAATATGATTATAGACTGTACTGTACAGTAAATATGATTATAGACTGTACTGCACAGTAAATATGATTATAGACTGTACTGTACTATAACTATGATTAGACTGTACTGTACTATAAATATGATCAGACTGTATTGTACTGTAAATATGATTATAGACTGTATTGTACTGTAAATATGATTAAACTGTACTGTACTGTAAATATGATTATAATGTACTATACTGTAAATATGATAAGACTGAACTGTACTTTTAATATGAATATAGACTGAACTGTACTATAAATATCATTAGACTGTACTGTACTGTAAATATGATAAGACTGTACTGTACTATAAATATGATTAAACTGTACTGTACTGTAAATATGATTATACTGCACTATACTTTAAATATGATTAGACTGTATTGTACTGTAAATATGATAAGACTGAACTGTACAGTAAATATGATTAAACTGTACTGTACTGTACTGTACTGTAGATATGATTATTGACTGTACTGTACTGTAAATATGATTAGACAGTATTGTACTATAAATATGATAATACTGAACTGTACAGTAAATATGATAATACTGAACTGTACAGTAAATATGATTAGACTATACTGTACTGTAAATATGATTAGGCTGTACTGTACTGCAAATATGATTAGGCTGTCACTGTACTGTAAATATGATTAGGCTGTACTGTACTGTAAATATGATTAGACTGTACTGTACTGTAAATATGATTAGACTGTACTGTACTGTAAATATGATTAAAATTTACTGTACTGTTAATATGATTAGACTGTACTGTACTGTAAATATGATTAAACTGTACTGTACTGTAAATATGATTAGACTGTACTGTACTTTAAATATGATTAGACTGTACTGTACTGTACTGTAAATATGATTAGACTGTAATGTACTGTAAATATGATTAAACTGTACTGAACTTTAAATATGATTAGACTGTACTGTACTGTAAATATGATTAGACTGTATTGTACTGTAAATATGATTATAAGCTGTACTGTGCTGTAAATATGATTAAAGACTGTACTGTAAATATGATTATAAACTGTACTGTACTGTAGACATTATTATTGACTGTACTGCAGTTGTCAAATCTAATTATCTTATATTTAATATTCCGCTTTGAAAGTAGAAAATTTCTTAATTTCAGAATAAAAATATTTATACCATAGAATTAGTTCTTCTTATTAATTCTAAACTTAATTATTTACTAGGAATATGGAGTAACCAACGGTTAAAACATTAATACTTTTTTAGTTCTTATTATTAATTCTAAAGGAACAGAGTTTCTGTTTTTAATCCCGATATCTTTGCAACCCGATGTCATAGACCTTTGATATTTCAAACTATACACTCCGTCAAGTAGTCCCATTTTGAAATATCAAAGGTTTACACCATCAGGTTGCGAAGCAATAGGGGATAGAAAATTTGGGTTTTGGCAAAAACTCAAATTAATTATGAGTCATGGGAGTTTGTAGTAGATTTTGAATCCACTGGAGACTACTGGAGGGATTTCATTTTCACTGGAGAGGTTCGAGAAATCGCTATTTACTATTCAAAACTTTAGGCGGGTGATTTACATTCCACTGGAGAGATTCAGGTATCCTTCCTGAGGGTTAAAAATTCGATTGAAGGGAAGTGGAATTAAAAACCCCCTGGAAAGATATCTAAATTCCACCAGTGGAATTAAAACCCCCCTGGAAAGATATCTGAAACCCTCCAGTGGAATTAAAAAACCCCTGGAAAGATATCTGAATTCCTCCAGTGGAATTAAAACCCCCTGGAAAGATATCTGAATTACTCCAGTGGAATTATGAACCCCCTGGAAAGATATCTGAATTCCTCCAGTGGAATTAAAAAACCCCTGGAAAGATATCTGAATCCCTCCAGTTGAATTATAAACCTCCTGGAAAGATATCTGAATCCCTTCAGCAGCTGAATTAAAAAAACCCTGGAAAGGTTTCTGAATCCATCCAGTCGAAATAAACAAAACCCTAGAAAGATATCTGAGTCTCTCCAGTGGAATGTAAATCACCTTGCATAAAGTTTCAATTTGTAGATAGGTATTTTTCCAGTGAGAACTATATCCGTACGGTGGTCTCTATTGAGAATTATATCCGTACGGTGGTCTCCATTGAGAATGATATCCGTTCGGTGGTCTCCAGTGAGAATTATATCCGTTCGGTGGTCTCCAGTGAGAATTATATTCGTACGGTGGTCTCCAGTGTGTATTCTAAATCTTTCTTTGAACTTCTTTGAGTCATTAATTATTTATCAGGAATACGGAGGAAGCAATGGTTCGGTAGAAGAACTAGTAGGTAACTAAATTATCAAAATTCTTCAAAATATTACTCTTTTCAAATTAAATGTAGAGATTGTAAATTGTAAAAAAGATTAACAAATTTTATTTACACTAGGGAGGAAAATATTATTGTCTTTGTTTTGACTTGAATAAAATATAACAAAGAGAATTAATTTCAGAGGAAATTTTCCTTATTTGCTATTTTTAACTATGGCTTTAAAAAGATTGTAGACGTCATTTTCAACTATTATATTATAGTCCATCTAGTTTATCTGTTTTTTAGTCTTTAAACATAAAGTGATTGTAGATGTCATTTTCAACTATTATATTATATTTCACCTAGTTTATCTGTTAGTCTTTAAACATAAAGTGATTGTAGACGTCATTTTCAACTATTATATTATATTCCATCTAGTTTATCTGTTAGTCTTTAAACATAAAGTGATTGTAGACGTCATTTTCAACTATTATATTATATTTCATCTAGTTTATCTGTTCGTCTTTAAATGTAGAGTGATTGTAGACGTCATTTTCAACTATTATATTATATTCCATCTATAGTTTATCGAGTTTATCTGTTTATAGTCTTCAAACAAAAAGTTGAAAATATTGCTAGAAAGAAAGAATGATGCAAAGCGTCGTGATTTATTTGTTTTGTAGATTACTGGAAGAGGGAGGTAGAGCAGAATAGGGATTGGTTGATGGAGCAACCGAGGTAGGATCAAGATTAAAGGGATGGTTCGCGCTTTTATTAATTGATCAGTTATTTGAGTTAAAGGGACAGTAAACGTAAATAGATTCAACGTTGAATTACATGACCGATTAACAATAGTACCCTAAATGTAAATTCACACACCTTTATCTTAAAATGCTAATAAGGTTTGAAATTAAAGAAAATGAAATAAAATTTGTAGCCCAACAAATTTATTTGACCAATTGAGATGAAGTATCGCTAAAATGAGACAGCTGTTTTCATGGATTGAGCCCAGCCTTCATACCGTTATAAATTAATAATTTCCACTGCAGATGTCAATAAAATGTGTGAATAAGACCCATTTTAATTAAAAGTTCCGCTTTCAGTTTACATCAGTCGTCGTCGTATATATCAATTCAATAAAGACGAATTTTTTATTTAAACTTGTATTTCGACCAAGCTTTTAAACAGGTTCTCTATTTCTAATAAACTTGTAATTTGAAGAAAAATTAAATCAAAACAGAAAAGCCGTCTTTATTGTATTGATATAAACGCCGATACCTGTATTTCAGGTACAAGTCAGATGAGAAAAAACGACCTGGAAAACCTAAACTGCATGCGGATATTTTCGGTATAGAAGGTTCATTCAGGAAACTAGAGATCGATTAAGTTATTTATTTAAAGGAACTGTAAACGTCATTACACGTGACTCTGCTAATCCCCGATTCACAATAGTACCCTTAAAAGCTTTGTCTGATCAAGTATCAGTTAGCTATCAATGTTTATAATAATAAAAATATTCTTTTCCGTAAATCTTTGTATTAACCAGTTTTTTTGCACAAATCTTTGAACTAAACAGTTGTGCTGCACAAATCTTTCAAATAAATAGTTGTTCTGCACAAATCTTTAAAAAAACAAATATGCTCAACAAGCATCTATATTAATCAGTTGTGCAGTAAAATCTTTGAACTAAATAGTTTTTCTGCACAAATCTTTGAACTAAACAGATGTTCTGCACAAATTTTATAGAATAAACTGTTCTACTGAAATATCTAAATTAATTAGTTTTGCTGTAAAATCTTTGGATGAAACAGTTTTGTGTTTAACAAATATTTAGAATAAACAGTTCTACTGAACAAATATCTAATTCAATCAGTAGTGAGTAAAAGGTTTGGATTAAACAATTTTGTGTTGCACAAATCTTTGAATTAATTACTTGTGCTGCACAAATAATTAGATTAAACATTAAATCAAATTCCTATCTAGCTTCGTTGTTGTTTCGTAATATTTACAACTTTTGAAACAATCCATTATTTGAGAATGTTAATAACATTCACACTTTCATATTTTACTCAATATGCTGATACATTCCTTTCTTTTAAAAATAAAAATATTCTATTAATTCTACTAACTGTTCCTGCATTTTTTTGTGACTTGTGAGTGATTATTACTGAGCTGGGACCTTTTTAGCTGGATACCCAAAGCTTAAACGCTAGATCTCGATGTCCATTACGGGCACTTTTAATTTGAGGACCAATGCTTGATCTCTTCATGTCAGTTACTCCTGTTGGGTACGATTACCACTAGATTATTAATCTGTAGATTTACATCGAGAATCAAGCATTAATCTTGATTCCACAATACAAGAGTTCCCACCAGGGGGGATGATAGTTTCCTACCTGTGTGCCCAGTTAGCTATACAGTACACTTACAACGGTTTACTAATATCGATATACTATAAAGGTTAGGCCAGAATCTCCTTATAATAAACAAATATGCAGTACGCTCTTGGTATACATTTAGTAAAGGATTAGCGTATACATCATCACTCTATACACTATATCCTCGTTGGTTCCCACCTCTAAATATGAAGATTATATCGATAACATTTAACTAAATAGTTTGCCGCATAAAATTGCATGTTTGATTTGATTAAATTTTATTAAGAATATAGCCAATTAGCATATATTAATATTTCAAAGAAAACAAAAATGATTATATAATTTATCATTTCGTTATATTTTCATTAGTTAATTCTTTCAATTTCACAGAATCTGCAAAACTTTTTTCATCACCAAATCGAAAAAAATCTGAGAACCAAATTAAGAGTTAAAAAAAAGCTTTGGTTTAGAAAGGCTTTAACATGTCCTCTTTACTGCAGTTTACAAAAACAAATTTTAACAATTTATTTTTTAAAAATTTTCAGTTCTGGCAACAAGTCTGTGGCCTTCTTGCTTTTTCTCTTTGTAATATCTGTTCTGTTCGTTTTTTATACGTCTTTTCATTTCTGGATTTCCTCGCTTCCTGCTGTTTAAACCATCTTTTGCTGCCTTTTTGATTTTGAATTTTACTTATTATAAGTTGATTTTTTCAGACACGTTTTTTTATAGTGATTTAATATATACACACTTTAATGGTTTTTCATTTAAAATACACTAGCTGAAGGGCCCGGCGTTGCCCGTGGAAAACAAATTAAAAAAATATTTTGAGTGAGTGTCCACAAAAAATTTCAGCCCAATGGGTCCAGCCGTTTGGCCGGCTATACGCATTACTCAACATATATATATATACGAAACGTCTTGTTTTATTATATTGATAGTAAACATAGTAAATGTTTACATGTTACCATTACAACCTCAACTAAGGGAAGAAGTTTATTTACAAACTTATTTGATCTTTTCAATGGATCTTCAGAGTTTTATTAAAATATGCTGATTTCTAAAATTAAAGGGACTATAAGCGTAAGTTCTCTGGAGAAACTCTCAAAAACAAATACTTTTGAGTATTTTCCAGATTTTGGATCAGATTAGGGTTTCAACTGTACTGTAGTATATCGACCAATTCCATCTTTGCATTGATCGGTCAGTCTTACAGTCACTTGAATCTATATCAGATTACTCTAAAGTTGGATGTGTTATGTATGCTTATGAAAGTAAAGGATCGACGGACAATTAAAGAGAAGCGGCGAAGGAGAGATGGAGGAACAAAGAGAGCGAGAGAGAGAGAGAGTAGGGGTAGGGGGGAGTGGGAAATAGAGACAGTTCCAGGGGACGGATGGAGAGAGAGAGGTTTCCATATCAACTTCACTTTAAACCTCCAGGGTAGAGTTTTAAACTATAGTTTCTCCAGGTATCCAACTCAACACAGCATCGTAGAAATTTTAATCAGGATTTATTTCAACTTTTCCGTTCACTCATTTTATGATCTCGAGATAAGTTAAATAAGAATCAATTAAATTGATTATTACAAAAATGATTACTATTTGATCCGGTAATTGGATAAAAATGGTCTTAAGAAAAGATGAACATATTCATGATTTTTAGCCAATTAGGGTAAACAGATACAGATAGCAGATACACGGGACGTTTAAAGTATATAATTATACTGATGGTAAATAATTTGGGAAACTTTATAGTTACGGGATCTTACTGAGCTTCCACTTAAAAATATAAGAGGGGTATGTCCGATTCACAACGGGATCTTTTAAACCTTTGTCCAAATAAAAACTACAAAGATGATCTTGTTTTCCTATCTAAACCATTACTAATCTTCAGTTGTTCAGGCGCGTAGTGGAGGCCTAGGGGGGTGCACTTATTTTGTGCACCCCCTAACGGTTGATGTGCACCCCCCTAAAAAGCCGGTATCAAGAAAAAATAAAGTTTAAAATCTATCTTAATCTACCTGAAGGCTGACTATTAGTCATCTGACAATAATTACCAATCATTTTAAATGAAACCCCGCGAAACAAAATATTGTAAATAAGATTAAGGTACAAGAAATAATTAGAGAAATAATTATAAAATAGACAAATTGTGACATTGTCGATTGATAAGAAAAGTAAAAAATCTGAATATATATGTAAGTTTACTGTTTAATAAATTAGAGCCTGCCTCTAGTTATAGGGGGGGGGGGGCAAAGGACTAGGGAGGGGGAACAGTGGTACAGCCACCCCCCCACTACGCGCCTGCAGTTGTTGTTTCCTCTATAAAAATGAATTGCTGATGAACACAACAGAAACAAAGAAGGAAAATGTCAGATTGTATTACTTTTTAAGATAGTAGGGAATAATTATTTTTCTCATAGCATTTTCCCCCCATTCCATTAATAAGAGAAAGGACGGTGTTGTTTATATATATAAAATTATATTTGTTTAGTTTTAAACAAACTTATGAAAAAAAACTTATAAAATCACAAGAGAAAGGCTTCTAATTATAAAAAAAACTCCTGAAAAAGAAGTCCTAAAAATGAAACTCTTGAAAGAAGAACTCTTTTAAGAAAATTCCTGAATATTCTAAACTTCCACCTTCTAAGAGGAAAAACTTGGAAGAAAACTACTGAAATACAAAATGAAAAACGAAAAACCTAAAACGAAATTTCTGGAAGAAAAACTCCTGAAATAGAAAATCCTTTCAGAAACGTAACGAAAACGACAAATTAGGAAATTTCAAATCCTCGTGATGAAAACCCTTAATATTACACTCTTTTCCTCATTTGATCTAGCGACATTCATATAGTTCAAAATATCAAATGTCTACGAAATCAGGTTTCAAAAATATAAAGATAGCAAATGGATTTAACTTTAACCTACGTTGTTTTAATCTTAATTCCTGCCATAGAAAGGACGTTTAAACAAGTTATTATTCTCAGTCTGCGTGGATCGAATTTTACACAGAATCTGATCAAACTTTTTCTTTAACAATAGCTGGTACAGTTTTCATCTCTTGCACAATAGTCAGTAATACTTTTTACTGATGTTAGGCTCTCAATCAAATTAAGAGATGAATGCAGAAGAAGATTAAGCTTAAACAAAATATTTTAGAAAGAAACCATGAACTTTTTGCTAAAATTGTTGAACAATTGTCTTTGAACCCTGATAGTGTAAACCTTTGATATTTCAAACTATGAATTCTGTTAGGTCATATAATCTAAGTTTGAAACATCAAAGAATTGGGATGCAAAGATTAAGGAAATATGAGTTTGTGGCAAATCTTTAATTCCTTTAACTGTTCATGTCCTGCACTCCCTACGGTGAGTGAGTTTAATGTCTTAAGCGAACTAAATAGAAACTGAACCCTTGCCTAAATCTCCGGTTTTATAATCCCTATATCTTTGCAACCTGATGGTACAAACCTTTGATATTTTAAAATCTTGTAGAATTCATAATTTGAAATATCAAAGGTCTGCGACATCAGGTTGTAAAGATAAGGCGTTTAAAAAATCAGAGTTTGTGGGAAGAACTCATTTTTTTATATTATATTTAGAAATCAAAATTTGAGTTAGGATAAAAGATGAACTTACTCACAACTCATTTTCAAATCGTCATATTTTTTCAACCTGAAATCGCAGATCAGAGATATTTCAGACTGGGATATCTGTTAGTCTAAGAAATAGGGATAAGAAAATAGTCTAAGATATAAGGATTAGAGAATAATCTAAGAAATAGGGATAAGAAAATAGTCTAAGAAATAGGGATTAAAAAATAGTCTAAGAAATAAGGATTAGAAATAGTCTAAGATATAAGGATTAGAAAATATTCTAAGAAATAGCGATTAGAAAATAGTCTAAGATATAAGGATTAGAAAATATTTCCCCCCCCTTGGATTGCTAAAACTAACCTAAAATACGGACTGCTTTTTGAAAATTGAGTACAACAATGAATCATCTGAAAGAATTTTGACATTTTAATGCTTTAAAAAATAACAAATTACAAATTTACATATACCACTGCGAGGGGGGGAATCCAGAGTTCCTCAACGAGTAATCACTGCCATCCAAATGTGTTTTGTGGCAAGCAATCTCCTCAATTGGTAATCACCGTAAAAATTTGTTTTCTGAGATTTTAATTTAATGCACTTTTAACACAATTTTCGACATCTATCGGGGTTTTATGGCATCTGTATTGACTTAAACTAAATTTTCAATTTGTTTTCTGATTTGTTTGGTCAACAAAAGCTGAGAATCAAGGCACAGTTCATTCAATTCGCTCATTTAATGACTGCATTTCATGATTGGCGTTAAGATACTAAAAGTTCGGGCTGCCTGTTTACTA